ATCCCCTTTTTTTAAAAATATCCAAACCCAAACCCCCCCCCCCCCCCCCCCCCCCCCAAAAAAAAAAAAAAAAAAAAAAAAAAAAAAAGGCCACACACCAAGCAAGCATCCGAACCCATACATCCCAACCAAATACACTCGACTTTAAGCAACACCCCTTCGCTCCCTGACCACCCTGACCGCCTCCCTAACCTCCAGCGCATCCCTCACAGACCCCAAAATCAATCCCTCCTTCATTCCCCTTCGCAACCTCCAAACACTCTCCTTGTCCCCCTTAAACGGCGCCAAGCCCAGCTGCAACAACCTCGTCACCTCCGCATCATTCGCGTGCGCCATGTTCACTAGTTGTGCGAGCTGGGCTTGTGTCTGTGGCGATAGCCTATCGCCTTGTTTCTTGGAAGAAGAGGAGGAAGAAGATGAGGATGGTGTTAGTTGGGAGATGAATACGTTTAGGGTCATGGAGGCATTGCGGGCTAAGGCGAGGGTTTGGAAGGGGAGGAGGTAAAAAGTTTCTAGATTTAGGAGGGAGGTGAGGAGGGGTGGGAGGTGTTTAGATGGCATGATGATGCCGTTTTGGTGGGTGAGGAGGGAGAGTTCGAGGGTTAGGAGGGCGAAGAAGGTATAAAAGCGCCACTGTTTGAAGACAAGGGGGGTACATATGTTAGCTGAAAATTTCCGTCTGAGAGAATCGATATATGCATCGGTTATATAAGACGAAAACAAAAGACAGAGGAAAAAAAAAAAAAAAAAAAAAAAAAAACAGAGAAAAGCTGAAACCTACATATCGCCCCCACGCGGAGAACCAGAACAAATTCATCAGCACCATCACAACAAGCCCACCAACATACTGCGGCAATAACGCCAACAGCCCCGCATACAGAAACTGCCCCATCGTCTTCGCCTTGGAGCCCTCCACAACCCCTCGTCCAAACCTATCATACGCAAACCTCCTTACAGGATCCAGCAACGTCTCTTGCGCCAGCCTCAGCTGCACAAACACAGCATCCAGCGACTCCCCATCACCCCCCAATGAGCCCGGAAACTGAAACTGTTGCTTTTTATCCGGGTGGTGGAGCGCCGCGAGGCGGCGAAAGCGCGACTTTATGGTCTTGTCGTTTGTCGTAGGTAGCACGCCTAGAAGCTGGTAGAAGTCGCCTTCGAGCCGGAGATTATGATAGGTTTCGTAGAGAGAGTAGAGGAGGTAGGTTGTTATTACGGTGATATAGATTCTGCGGTAGTGGCGGGCGTAGCGGGGGCTGGAGGGGGAGGGGTGGGGGGAGCCGGCGCGGATGGTTAGGCGGTAGTAGAGGGTTTGGAGAAAGGAGGTTGCATACTGTGTGTGGTTGTGATTGTTAGGATTGGGAAGGGTGAGAGTGTTAGATCCAGGTATGCCAACTCACTTTTGGAAGAAAGGCCCAGCCAGCGTACGTCAGGATTGCGGAGAGAATACCGCCGGCCATATTTTGTTGTTTGGGGGGGTTAGTTAGCGGCAGGTTGACATTTATGTCGATATTGACACCTATGAGCACAGCTCTTAAGGTGTTCTTGGAATGGATAAAAGATAGGAACGAGAAGATTTATCTTGTCTCCTCTGCAAATACCACCAAGGATATGGGCTAAATGAGTGTACTTATAGCTTCAAATGATGTTTGCTTGTAGATGTGTGTATGTCTATGTCTATGTGTATAGATAGATCTCTGTTGACGTTCGTCACCGCGGTTAAATTCAAAGTCTTGGCACAACCCCCATGATGCGGCTCCTGGGCGGCTCTTGGGGCGTCTCCACTCGAGCCAAACAACAAAAAAAGTCACCACAGAAAAAAAAAAAAACACTACCTCAAACGACATCATATTTATATCAAACACGGCATGCAGCCACAACAGCAACGGGTGGCACAGTTATACCTGCCATGTCAATGGACGCAATGGATATCGACTCCGTTACTCCCTCACCAGAGAGAAAGCGCAAAAATAAAGAAAAGGATGGTCATTCCTCAAAGAAGCGCAAGCATGAATCGACTACTATCGCACAGACCGCGGTAGACGAGATCTCACCAAAGGCAAAGAAGACGGAAAGGAAACACAAGCACAACAAGGATCACGAATACCTCGACGAATCCGCACAAACGCTACCAGATATACCCAATGCGCGATCAAAAAAGACAAAAAAACACAAACACCATGCCGAACAGGCCGCCGACAATGACGACTATGTCGACTATGACAAGGAGGAGGGAGATCAACAATCCCCTCAATCCCCAACAGCCACCAGAAAACCTCTCGCAAAAGCGTCTACCTCTCAATTGGAATCTATCTCCGTAGACCCCACTGCTTCCTCCCCCTTCTACCTCATAACTGCCACCCTCTACGTCCCTCTCTCCCCTATCTCCATCTCTCCTACCCACGCCCTATCCTCTCTGCAAGCCGAACACCTTGCTCCATTACTACTAACATACTATCCACCATTTCGCGGCATTGTGCTCGCCTACTCAAATGCCTCCATATCTTCCATTCCCCCATCCTTCCCATACTCAAAAGCCGGATCAACAGCCACCCACAACCCAGACGAAGAACTGAACCCACAACCTTTAACCCTCGCCACAAGCGCAGGCGAATACGGCGTTCTCTTCGTCTACATGACAGCCACATTCCTCGTATTCCGCCCAGAACGTGGCCAGCAGCTCGAGGGGTGGATAAATGTGCAATCCGACGGTTTTCTAGGTGCGGTGGTATACAATCTTTTCTCCGTCGGGATCGAGCGGCGCAGGCTACCCGCTGATTGGCAGTGGGTAGCGCCGGGAGAAGGATCTAGTGCTACACCAAAAAGCAACAACACTTCAATCTCTGCTGCCGTCACCGACGACGACGACGACGAAGACTCAGATTTCGACTCTGACAAGGAAAACTTCCGCCCGCTATCCACCCGCTCCTTAGCCGCTGTTCTCGACCTATCACCCCACAGCCAGTACAACTCCACCCACAATGACCCCATCCAACTATCCGCAAACCCCGACGAGGCCGCGACGGCCGGCTTCTTCCGCACACGCTCCGGGCGCCGGGTGCGCGGGATGATCCGCTTTCGCGTGCGGGATGTAGATGTCATCCCTGGCGCGGAGCCGGATAAGGCTTTCTTAAGCATTGAGGGGACGATGTTGAGTGCAAAGGAGGAGGCGCAGTTGGTCGAGGAGGAGAGGAAGAGGGCTGTGTTTACGCCGTTGTCGGCGGCCGCCACGATGGCGGGGGGTTTAGGGGAGGGCAGCACTGTTGCTGGGGAAGCTGATGGGGAGGCACTGGGAGAGGTGAGGGGTAAGGAGAAGAAGAAGAAGAAGAGTAAGAAGGCGGCTTCGTAGTTGGAGTAAGATATATATTACGTCTATCTTACTTAATTTTTAAATCATACGAGTTGGAAGGGAAAGGTGCTGGTATATTGTTCATTTTTGTTGCACTACTAATGATATGTCGGTACACATATTGTTGGGAGGAGTTTCCCTCGTTTCTTTATGGGGCGTTTTGTTTTATGCTTAACCACTGATGCATGTCAAGAGAGAGGGAGAACAATAGAGACTATTTGTTAAATTGATTTGGTATGTGGTATCTCTTAGATTTTGATTTGATTTGATTGTTGCATGGTTTTCCTTGACATTTTCTTGGTTTTGAATTCCCGAATGTAAAGGAAAGGGGTATTAGGAAGAGGGTTCGTTTCCATACGAACTATGATCGTCCATCTTATTCCATCCCATTTAACTCCACCAACCCAACAATCCATCCCATCGAGTTATCCATCAAACGTTACACTCTTCTTAAAAATTACTCCACGTCAAACACCCCTTCAAACCAAGTCGACCTTCAGCACATCCACCCCCTCCTTTACCTCTTTCTTACCCACCATCTTCCCACTTCTCATCAGCTCCGCACACTTCATCACAACCGGATCCATCCCCATACTCGCAACCGCCACCACCGTCTCGCCCAGCAAATAGTACGCCACAAACTTCCCCTCCCCAGGCTCCCCTTGCACAATCAAATCGTCATACCCGTTCATCGTATTACCACAGTACCGGAGTTGCCCGCCCAGCGCGGACCAGAAGATCGGAATAAACGACTTCAGTTTCAGGGGCACAGAGCTCTTACTAGAGAAGGCATGCGCGATTGTGCGCCCGACACATCGACCTGAATTCTGCGCTACATCCCAATGTTCGATGCGCACGTGTGAACGGCCCCCCTGGCCCGCCCCAGGCCCGTGGTAGGGATATGTCGCGATGTCGCCAATGGCGTAGATATCATTGTTATTACCCTTCAGGCTTTCGACGGCGAAATAGTCGTCTGTCTTTAGAGACCCGTCTTGCTCCAGGGTTATTGCAGGGTTATCGCGCAGAAACTCCGTGGCAGGGCTGACGCCTACACCTAGAATGACAAGGTCTGCAGGTAGGATGGTGCCATCTTTAAGATGTACGGCGCCGACTTTGGATGCATCTGCGGATGAGGGTGTGGCCTTAGCGACAGAGGCAGACATGTAGAATTTCACGGCATTTTTCTCTAGGTTGGATTGGAAGACACGCCCGATCTGGTTGCCCATGATGCGCTCCAGGGGGGTGAATTCCATGCCGACAATCGTTACTGTGTTCTCTTTTGAGAGCGCATTGCCCACTTCCATGCCGATGAAGGAGCTGCCGATTATGACGACATTTTTCTTCTTGTTAGGTCCCACGGCGGCTAGAATGGCTTGAACGTCTGTTACCGTGCGCAGGGTGAAGACATTATCTAATTCTTTGAAGCCTGGGAGCGGAAGGCGGCGTGGAGTGCCTCCCGTTGCGAGGATGAGTTTTGTATATGGCACTGTTTTACCGGATTTGGTAGCTATGGTTTTGTTGAGGAAATCGACGGAGGTGACTTCGTCGGAGACCATGGTGATGGAGACGGAGGAGTACCATTCCTTCGGCCTGAGGAGGAGTTTTTCTGGGTCTGGGATTAGGGCTTTGGAGAGCTTGGTTCTGTCGAGGGGGAGGTTGGGTTCCTTGGAGATTATTGTTATTTGGCCACCGAAGCCATGTTCACGGAGTACTTCTACTGCTCCCATTGTTCCGCTTCCGCTGAAGTGAGGTAGGGTGTTAGCGTGAGACCAATTGATGTGGATTGTGTAAATATTCTTACCCTCCAATAATCACCACCTTCTGATCCTGTTGAGCCACAGTGCAAGAAGAAATAGGCAATCTTCCATTTGATTTGAAACTGGCTTCGTCCGCTTTGACATACACTCCGCCATCTTTCTCGAATACTTCATATTTATGTAGCGCATTTAGAGCCGGCGCATCTTCCACGTCTCCAGTTGCGATGTTATAGCAAGCTAACACGGACATCAAATACAATAATAAAATTCAATCAGCGCAAGTCACTATTTGCTTTTCTTAACTGAATGAACCTGGAAAGCAGCTCTGGATATAGAATAAATCTAGTTGTATTGTTAACGGAAAATACATACCGCCATGCCACGGACACGTCAACCTAGCATCGGGTGTTAGAACACCTTTTACCAATGGCGCACCATAATGTGTACAGTTCGCAGTGAGAGCATGCACATGGCCGCCATGCTTTATGAGGATAAGTTTCCCCTTCTCGATGCCCTCGACTTCTACTTCGATCTTGTCGGACGGGAGGTCAAGTGACGTCAAGTCCTTGATTTTGAAAGTTGATGTTGATGTCGATGTCATTTTGGAAATGTATGTAGATAGCCGTTGTGTGGTTGAGAAGTGCAGTGTTTTGGTTACTTGTATTTGGTTTATACTTTTCTTATGCTTCTTGACTGTTGTTGTGTTGGTGTGTATATGTTTGATGGGGATAATGGTTCTTGTTAGCTGCTGGTGAGGGGTTGCTAGCACAGATGACGTGCGTTGCAAGTTGATATGTGCGAAATGACTGGACGATACAGCTCCAGTAATCGGGAGAGTAATGTAGGTATCGTGCAATGGACGGGTGATTTGCTTTATGCTGTGATGGATGATAATAGCCTTGGAGGGGTAAGGGGGGAAGAGAAGCATGCTATGGGATGAGAAGATATGGGGATCAGGATACAGACATACAATGAGGTTAGGAGATTCTCTTGAATGCGCAATTGCTCAATTAACGTCAATGTATCAGGATCATGTTTCAATATTGCTGGCAAACAACGTTGGCTGAGGCAATCCAAAGTATTTTGCGGGGAGGCTTTGTAATGGAGGTCTGTGATTTGCTGTTGGCGGTTTATGACGTCGGGGTGAGATCACTAACTTTTAGATATTTCAACATTTAGGAAAACAACGCAGGGATACACGTCCGTGCTAAATAATTTCAGCTGTCAGATGTAGTAAAGTCCCTTTAGCTCATTATTTATCTAATAGCAATTTTTTCCGCAGCACTAATATCCTATACATTGCACAGCACCCTAAAAAACACTCCTATCCTATCCATTTAATTCCCCCTGTACTCCACACTCTCCGATTGGTTGATACCTATATCACACCCCTCCTCCGCAAACCCCTCCTTCTTGCTTGTTCAAGATTACTCTCTGCTCCCCGCCCCCGTCCACGCCTAAGACCTTGTTTCTTAACCCATCCACGCCCCTGCGAGCCCCTGAGACACCGCAAAGTCCCCATCTGAATTAGGCGGAGGATCAAGGTCACTGGAAATCGTCAAATCCACAATGTAACTGCTCTCTGCAGCGACTGCAGCGGCCTGTGACCGTGGTTCATATTCAGAGTGTTGCGTCGACTCCTTGCTAGCCTCAAGGATGGCTGGGAGGCCCGTCCGGTCATCAAAACTCTGTGACACATGTGGCGAAGACGATCGTTGGCGCGGAGGCGCGAGAGCTTTTCGTTTGTTTCGTCTAGTGACAGATGCGGGAGGGAACTGCACGGCTGATGCTATGCGCGGTGGAGCTGTGGAGATTTACCGTGGTACGGGCGGGGACATGTCACCGAAGCCCCTGTCAGACTCGTAGAATGGATTCATGATGACGGAATCTGCACATGAGTCCGGACGATATCTGCCAGTGTGGCTTTCTTGACAGTTGCGGGCATTGAGAACTGAGAATTTTTCTGGCTTTAGCTCCCCTTGATCTACCCGGAAGAACTGTAGGGTAGAGTTACGAGCAGCAGCTGCGGAAACAGGGAATGAATGCCTGGCTAAGATTTTGGATATTATTGCTATTCGCTAGGTCGTCATCCGAGCTTTTAACTTCAGAATCCAAGCCTATGTCCATATGTGTCTCTTCAAATTGTGACCTATGATGGGACGTAGCAACTGGATCGGGGGCAGCAGTCAGGGAATCCTGCGTAGGTATGCCATCGGTTCAAGATACTGAAGGCGTCCATCCGACAACGCCGACGATTTCTGGTGATCGGAACCCAAACCCAGTTTGAGAAGAGAAGGATCGGATGCATGTCCTTCCAACCAAGCGAGCGAACTTGGAACTTCAGTCATAATTTGCTCTTCAGGGAATGATCTTGAAGTGCCAAGCGGGATTGGAGGCAACGGCTCATAATCTTCGTTGGGACTGTTTGAAGGATTAAGGGGCGGGCTGGACGGAAACCCGGAAAACATAGGAGATTTGACAGTAGGACTGGCAAATTCATTCATTTCCATGTCTTCATTAGCTGCGTCATTGTGAGTAGTGGAACCACGTGCAGTGAAACAGGTCTCTTCGGGAAGGAGAATATCTGAATCGAACCCTGATCTGAACCCAGCCTCTCGAATCATATCTGATATATTACGTCTTGTAGGTGAGGAAATCGTGATGTCTTCAGGGACAGGGGGGGGAAGTTCAATGGGGCTGCCTCATTTTTTGGGTAAGCTGAGAGGCCCATAAAAGCATAGGATATTTTATACCAACAGCGGATTCTGCGTCTCCTCTACCCTCTCTACCGTCACTGTCACCTCTGACACCCCTACCGTACTATCCGCTGGTGCCTCGGAGATTAATTTTGGTTCTATGAACTCTCCAAACTGCATTTCCCTGAAACCATCATCTTTCCCTTTCTTTTCAAAGCCAGGCATCTCAAATTTGGAATACTGGGTTGCTTGATCGTCATCACCATCATCATCATAATGCTCCTGAGGCTGCTCCCTATCGCGTTGCGCTAGCCTTAATGTCAAAGTCCCACCAACCACATTTTCTATGACGGCTGTGCGGTATTGGGATACCACTGGCTGCCACATCGTGGCCCCAGACAGGTCCAGCTGCTTGAAAGCAATGATCGCCCCGGGCTTCATATCAGTGTCCCTTGCATCTTTCAAAAAGGACATATCTTCCGGTAGAGTTGGAAGTTCATCTGAATCCGTGCCCATGTCATGTGAACTGGTTTCAACACCGGCCATCTCATAGTTCAGTTGGTCACCGACAGCTGCAACCATAGCTTTCGTTGAGGTATGGTTCTCATCAAGCCCATTGGTTTTATAATCTAACTCGATTTCATTTGAGGCACTTGGTTCCCCATTTCCCCACTCCTGATCATAATAGTCATCTTGGTGATTTTGAGTCTTTCGCTTCCTCTTCTTGCTATTACTCTGTTGATTTCCTTTACATTCACGGATTGCCGCTTGGGCATCTTTATCCCACCGCTGCACAAACGGGAAAGGAGGCGTAGATAGCTTCACATTGTTGTAAATACATTCTGTAGCCTGGAGGATCAATTGATCTTTCCAGTTTCCAACCGAATCAGCCTCATTTTTTGTGGTTTTATCAGCTTCTTCAGCTGACGCGGAGGCGGACCTTGATTTTGGCTTAGGAGTTTTCGACGAGAGTATATCTCGTAACGCTTTTACATCCTCCTTCGATTTGGGACTCTTTACACCCAGTGAGCCAAATAAGAGTTGCCGTGAGCTTTTCACATCCAAATTTGACTGTCTTTTGGATGATTCTGTAGGTTTGGAAATGCCAATTCCTCCAACTATAGGGGTCTTCGACACAGGTTCAAGTGGATTCAATTTAATGGTCGCCTTCGTGAGTTGTGGGTTCTCGTCCACTCCGCCGAGTGCAATATCGCGTAAAAGCTCCGCTCGTTTCCTCTCAAATTCCGTGTGTTCGTCATTAAAGTTCTCCTGGGTGTTTGGAGACTCCTTAACCAGACCCCTTGGTAACGGCCCAGGATTGGCTTCGCACCATTTCCGCAAATCATTGAATTTGGCATCTTTAGGTAGAATTCGAAGTTCCTTCAATTTTTGAAGTTTTCTTCGCAGTTTGGCTCTTTTGTTGGTGTTTTTTGTTCTCCTGGAACCAGTACCAGGTGGATGAACAGGTGGCCGTGGTCCAGCAGTGGTCTTCTGGGTAATTACTACTTGCTCTACCACGGCCTTCCTCTTTTTAATCGCATTGAGGACACTGGGAGTTTCTGAGCCCGAAGATGATGAACTACCAGCAGAGCTTGAAGATGATTCCGAAGATGTTTCGCTGGAGCCTGAGTCACTGGAAGAAACGGAGCTTCTTTCGTCATTGTCACTCGACTCACCTGTATCAGAACTAGAGGCACTACCACTCTCCGATGTACCTTCGGAAGATGCTGACATGTCGGAATGAAAACTCGGTTGATCCTGGAAGCTGACGCTGCGTTTGCGCTTTGGTAAAGCAGCCGGTGCACTTTGCTGTTTTCGATCTAAAATCCCCTGAAGTTTACGCTCTGCTGTGGGTGATTCCATTTGTTTTAACTGGTTGGCTTTCTTCGCAGCTTGTCGTTTGTAGGCACACGTATCGGGGGATATGTTCCCGGTTTTCGGCACGGGTTGCTCCTTGATTCGTTTTTTAGGCACTACGGGAATCTCTTCTTCAGACGGGGGAGAATGTTCTTCACTCGCACTTTCACCCTCATAATCGTCGTCATCCTCGTCTTCATCGGCATCAGCAAGCACAAGTTCTTTCCAAATTCCGCCCCTATCCTCTTTCCAATCGGGATCATTCTCTTTATCGTCATAGTCTTCATCGATTAAATCCTCCGCGACAGCATTATCAACCTGCCACCCGCCAAAGTTCAATCGTCTCTTCTTTCGTGGTGGAATTGTGATAGGCGGCCTCGATGGTACCGCTCTTTGAATATAAGGCTTCCCAAAGGGAACACCATCAATTAAATGCCTTCCATCAATAGAGATCTGATGACGCCCCGTAAGCCTTCTGGCTATGAGGTCATTAAGTTGTAAAGCACGTATTCTAGAACCCGCAGAAGCAACCGGTCCAAGTCAGTAACAGACCAGGCAAAGCAATAAATAAAGAGATGAAGATAAAACCAACAACTTACACAACCTCATCCCCATCCCTCAACAGTCCATCTACCTCCATAAAATGCAAGCACTCAAACCCAGCAACCTCCACTACGTAATCTTCCAGTCCCCATTGGCCAACACCGCCACCGATACCACCACCATTTTCAAACTCTTCTTCAACCTGTGTTTCAAGCGGGATAACCTCATTCACATCTTCTAGAAGCTGGGCAATTGACAACCCGCCACTCCCAGAAGCTGCCGCTGCCGCACCGGCTCCAAATCCTGCATTTGGGGCCCGTGTTGATGTTACCGTGGAAGATGAGACAGTGGCGAAGGAAGAGACGGCTGAACTGGAAGGAAGAGAGAAATGCGAGGAGGTTGTCCAAAGGACACGGGTGGTGGGGAGGCAGTGCCGTTGTATAATGAGGTGGAGACGCATGGCTGGGTGAATGATATGATTTGTAACTTATAGATCAAGAAAAGGGAAGGAAGTTAAGAGGATAGGATTAAGGGTTGTTGATGTTCTTTTGCACCCTAGTCCGTTTTGATCTTCCATCGTCCGGTATTTGAGCTGATCTTCTCAGTCTAGATTTTGCATTTGAAGGCTGTTGTCTGAATAGGGGTAACCGGGGTTAATATTGTATTGTTCCAAGGTCGTCGAGTTTGAGCAGATGAGAACGCGAGCGTGCGTAATGATAAGAGGCAGTACAATACAATGAAAGATGCCACCAATGTCATTGATCATCATCCCATTGTCTTGCTCTACTACAATAAATGGCCCAGCGGTACAGAATGAGTAACCTGCGTAGCCCACTACCTGCTTGGTCGTAGTAGTGAATTGTTCGTTAGATCGCGGTTTTGACGTGTGGAGAAGCAAAAAATTCGTCGTAGTTCGGCTGCCAAGACGCCTCGCCTATTCTGGTCTAGCGGCGGTGGGCTGCAACGTTGAAGTATATGTACTCCACAGTCAACCCTGGGAGCGATATGGTTGGTTGCTGTTTGCAGAGGTTCTTGCTTAACGATAGAGCAGACTCATGCTTTATCAAATGAAAAGATCCCAGAGGTATTATAACTCATATTCCAAGTTAATGTTAAAGAGATTCACGATTACTCGGGCCAAAAGATTTTTATTCCCGTATACAAACGCCATGTTCCTCCAAAGCAACCAATGATTTTATGACCACCAGGCAAATCAAAAAAGAAACATATGCTTTTGTTATCCGAATCCATAAATCCTCGCTCTCATGATGTATCGTTATCGAGATCGAAAATAGAAGCCAAGTAATAATATGAAAATAAAAATGAAATAATGAGGTCCAAAAATAATGATGGCAAGGGAGACACGAGGCAAGCAGTTGTATCCGCCGATATGTTCTTGTTTGTTCGAAATGCCTCCCAGATACCAAGGGCCAGGGCCGAGGATCATCCCCCCGCAATTCCAATTAACCACGTGTTAAGCGTGCTTTTTAGACCCTGGCACTGGTTTCCTGCTTGGGACCCCCATGAATGGCCTTGGTCTCCGTTGTGACTGTTCCTGTACAGATTGCAGTTGGGAGTTTTGGGAATTCTCGAAAAGTTGGTTCTGCTGAGCTTGACCAGTCGAAGATGGTGATGACACCGGCTGGTCTACCAAATTGCAATTACTGATATGTCCATCCACAGGCGTCGCGGAATGAGTATCGAAGAACGACTCCATTGAGGCGTTCATGAAACCGCTATTGGGGAAGAGCCGGTCGTCATCTTTGCTATTTGCTGAACCTTTTTGATCAGTTGTTGGCCATGACCCCGTGTCTGGAGGGTTATACTCGCGCCGCGGGCCGTCCACTGGCCCAAGAGCTTCCGCCATGGCATCCTCGTAGCTTGGAGGAGCATCCCCGAAATCCTCCTGTGCAGCAGGAGGAAAGGTAGGGGCCGCCTGTGGCCGCGGAGGTTGGGCTGGAGGAACCTCGGACACATTGCTGTCCTTGCGTGGGGAGCGCCGGATGGCCTCTAAGAGGGCCTTGGGAGGAGCGATTCCAGAGTATACTTGAACAGCCATCCGAAGGGGAAGGACAACAAGCTCAGGCTAAAAAAAACAAAAAAAAGAAGGTTATAAACATGTAACGACATTTAGTATGTTTCATGAGCCCTGGAGCGGGAAGGAGATGAGGACTGGATTCATGATGATAGAATTTGAACCAAAAAAAATAAATTGCCATTAAGAGGCTATCAATGAACGCACCTTCATTGCTCCAGACAATCCATGCGTCAACCCAACACGTACGTCCAAATCATAGGTGCGCGAAATATTGCACGTATCGAACGACGGCGCCACAGAACTGGGCAGCGGAATACGGTCCCACAAGCTGGAATCTACTTTCCACTCCTTCCCAGCGGGGACATTACCGTCGATTAGGGGTATGTTCATATTACTCAGGCTGATAATAACCCAGCTTCCACTCTCTGACCGGGTCAGATCATGAGCCCTGATGTGGGTGTATGCAATTAATTCGACCTGTATCATTTGCAAGAATATAGTTTCTGAACTCTCGTTGAGTTTTTTCACCAATATTCGCAAGGGGAATGGTTCGTTGCAGGTTATTATTGGAGGACTAGGTAATCTGGCATCGACAGAAAATTTGGGAGGTTCTTCATCGAGATCGATCAGAGATGGTGGATTAGATTTCTGAAACAGACCTTTCTTTTCCGGTATACTGCTGACCTTGGAGAATTGTTGTTGGCGTCTAGCGTATGACTCCACGCCGGTATCTGTTTGTCTCGGAGGTTCGATTGGCAGGAATTTGATATCAGCATACTATATCAATTTCAAATCAGCTTGTGCCCAAGCACCAACTACGCAAAGGTTTCATTATTTAAGACAAGACATCGGGTTTGATTTTCCACACTTTATTGACGGCAGAACTCGCAAAGCAGGTATCTGATGAATGCTCTTTAAGGGAAAAACATACCCCTCTATAATTCTCCTTGTAGAATTGTGGTCGTCCAACAGTTGCTTTCACATAGTATCTAATTTCCGCCTCCCCAGGAAACCCTGTCAGTGATGGAGGAAGCGCCTTTCGAACATGCTTATTCGTGTCGCGGGCAACCTCCAGCCTTAACCCACCCATGTTAAGGTTTGTGCTCATATGCTTGCTGCAGTCATTGTTGAAAGGAAACTAGAAAAATACGATAGGAGGAACCGTCAGACTGATTTCAAATCCTTCTGCATCCACTGATATTCCGAATCACTCGTTCTTTTGGCCAACTCACTTTAAATTGAAAGGGATATTCGTGGTGACCGGGCGGAAGGGTATAGTATATGTTGTTTCCGCCTGCAAGATCTGTCGCACTCTCCATTGGAAACAGTGTAAGGACTTTGTATAGAAGCTGTAAAAATTCAAACCAAAAGTGATTAGCGAGATATCCGCCACCCTGAAGCTGAAAACTTGCATGAACTCGACCCCGTTATCAAAACTACTACGGCACTTACCTTGTGAGATTCCACCTCCGTCCTCTTCTTTTCATTGCGGTCATTGTGCGGATATTTCGGAGCTGCAAGCCTCGTTCTGCTCTCGCCTTCGAGCTTTACGACGATGGAGGTGATGGGAGTGTCTGTAGTAAGCAGGAGGATGACTTTCCCCGTGATGAAGTCAAGATTCGTGAAATGCGCGTGCGGTCTGTCAAGGTGAATTCTAACAGACATGGCGACAAGAAATTATTAAGCTTATCAGCTTTCGGAGTTCATGTGCAAGGATATCTCGGATGAAACGGAGCCCAGCGTGGGGTATTTCTGATGGGAACAAATATCCAAACAAACGCAGGGCGGGAGGAAAGAAACCGCGTATGAAAATCTAGAAGTGCAGGCCGTATGATCCAGGGAGGTCGATATCACTAGTATGAACCCTTTGGATTGTCATGAAGATCATCGGCAAGTTTGTTTGTTCTCTTGCAGTGGACATGAGGATCTACTATGTAAGCATGAATGACGTTTTTGCTCCCCTGTAGTTAACTCTCAGTCAAAATGTTGTCTAAGTTCCCACCAAAAGGCCAAGTCGGTTATTCCGATAGTGTTATGCCTATATTTATCCTGCCTCGGGAGTCTGGCCTCGAGATCTTCGCCGGATATTTATATATGCAATTGAATAAATCATTCTCTCAGAGTCAGATTATGAAGTTCAAGTTTAAGGCTAAAATCAAAAATTTTCTGCTAGAAAGCTTTCGAAATCTTTAATCTAGAATATGGTCCTGGTAGTTACCGCCCAATCTCACATTTGGCTGGGCCTTGCATCGCATAACCAACAAATTGCCCCAGAGCCCTAACTAGTAGCGCGCCAGCTCAAAATTTCTAAGCCGCCTCTACCCACCAGGAGAAGCATAAAATAAACAACATAATAATAATCCACAAGTGAGTCAAACACATTTTCATCAAATAATGTGTTATAGTGATACAAATAATGCAAAGTCATCATGCTTTTAAGGGGAAGGTCTGCTTTAGTCATTTAAGTACTTGATATAGTCAAATTTTACGTATATGAGCAGCAGCAACTGTTTGATGTTGTTTTAGTTTGGCTTTTTTTTTTTTTTTTTTTTTTTTTTTTTTTTTTTAAAAAAAAAAAAAAAATTAAGTGCATTGATTATACAGCAAATATTAATGCTTCATCAAAGAACTAAAAACTCAGTTTTATTACAAAAAGAGGATTTTTTTATTCAGCGAATTTTTCTTATAAATGTATTTAAAAAAAAAAAAAAAAAAAAAAAAAGAGGAAAAAGAGAGCTTTTGATTGTAACTGTATAATATATAACTAATATTTAAAATTTTTAAAAACATGCATAGTTTTTCTAACTCTTTTTATAACTCTCAGTTTTTCTAAATATTAGTTATATTTTATATAATATTATTTAATTACAATTTAAATGTTAGATTAAAAGTAGTTAACTATGAGAGATTTTTCAAAATTATATAATAGTTATACAGAGCTCTTCTCAACTCAATGATTCAAACTTTAAATTAGCTGAGTAAGAGTTGTCAAATAATCATACAACAATAGAATAACTTTTTTAAAGAGGAAAGTTAAGATATTAAAAACAGTAAATGAGAAGCAAGGAGGTAAAAAGAGAAAGATGATATATATAGCTTAAAAGATATTTTGAGAGTTGAAGAAGAAACAGATTATATGAAGTAACTATAAAAACAAAAAAATGAAGTGATTGAGATTTGGATCCTCAATCACACAATCACAACCCAGTATAGGGTATTATTGAACATACTGCTCATACATGTCGAAAGCTTGTTTGTAAATAATTCTCAATATCTGTTTTATTTATGTGGTTGTTGTTATATTTAGTTATAAACATGTAAAATGTTTGTGGATTACGTTAGTTTAGTTGTTAACTTATTGTTTCTCGGGCGCAGAAGACGTCACAACCAAACAGGTCACAACCTGGTTTTTCGGCATAAGGTTTATCATTTCCAGCGCCAATTCGGGCACTTCCCAGGTGTGGTTTAAATGGCGGCTGGAGGCTGGTTTAACCGCTTTCACAGCCTCTTCCAAGCGTCGCTGAGGTGCATCAAAGGAGATGCATGAAAGAAGGTACGAAGATTCCACCGCAAACAGGTTGGCGCTTACATCCTTCAAAAATGCCTAACTACATCACGAACTATCTACAACAAAGAATATAATACAAACTGGTCTATTGAACAACCCAGTGGTCAAACCCGCTGCATGTCTCTAAAAGCATGGGTCAATTCAGTATGCTGGTCATGTTGGAGCATCGTAGATTCGTGAGGAACAGGAACAGCTCCTTAGAGGCCCTCCTTTGCCAGCATATCTATATTCACCGGATTAAATCTGTGTCAGCTTTATTTCAAAACACCCCGTGGATATGCAACTGTCTTACCGGCAATGTCTAGATACAGGGCAAGTGCGTTGAACCTGGCCGAAGAAAAGAGAAACAAAAGTCAGTGCCTCTCTCGCAAAGCAAAGTTCCAAAGTAACCACAAAAAGACACCAATACAAAACACCCACTTCCTGGTATTTCCCGTCAACTCAGAGATCATCCACTTGAAACGATTGGTCCTGTTGATCAAGTCGAGGTGGCTGACTCCAACAAGCGTGCCTTTGTAGCCCTCCTCACCTCCCCATTTGCTGCTCTGGACGCTGACCAGGCCATCATTCGGGCCTTCTTCCTGCTCGATAATCCGATGTGACTGGAGAAACACAGACCACATACCGGGTGTTAACGAGGCTCCGTATGAAAAGTATCTAAAGTATTTCCCTAGCCGTTAAACTTCTTTTCCCTTATATATATATATATATCACCTTTAGCTGAACCGGGGTATGTATATACCCACCTAACATCGTCGATATCAGGAGTATTGGGATTGAATTCTTCCTGCATGTATTTTCGAGTAAGCTGACTGAATGCCCCTGACTCTATTTTAATGCGAGCCAGTGTGTTATATATCTGTGCAGCTCGATGCTCTATGCCTTGCGTAAGTGTTTGTTAAAAGATTCTCATGACTTCAAGGTGATCAGACGAACCTCCAATCAGTCCAAAGACATAATCCGCAAACGCAGACCCTAAAGCAGTTAGTCGAAAATCGTGATAAAGGACTGGAGAGTGATTAACCTCGGTGAGGGGTGCCAATCGTAGTCAGAGACACAACCCGGAATTTCGTAGGTCGTAGTCTGCTGATCATGTAACGGGAATCTAGTCCACTGGTTTGGTTTGGCTGAAGTCAGCACGATATCCCACCTGTGTTGAGTATATATGGAAGTTCGAAATCGCATACCCCTGAATGAGTTGCAAAGTAAGCATGTGTGGAACAAAAGAGTTTGAGAGCTTCTTGCCAATATATATCATACCATACTATGTCTGCAGGAACAGTTAGTGACCATAATCAACTATTCTCCAGTTAACCAAGGGCAAATGATTTGAAAACATCTCCAAAAAAAGAAAAGGTCACAACTCACGCAATTATATTCACTTCTTTCCCCTGAATCCGGCTCTCAATTCCACACATGAGCTCTTTAGCCCGTTGCTCGATGGATCCCAACGGCAGGACAGGGACAGAAATGACCACCATCCTCTTTAGGGCGAAGGCTTCTTTGATGCCGCGCCAATATTGTACGCCGGGGAGATACTTCCCTCCCAGTTTCAGCTCATCAAATCCCAATAGACCGTGTGCAAGAACAATTGGGAATTTCGGCCTGCCTGAACAAGCATATGTCTCGGAAGTTGCGTATATTGGATCAGCACTGCCTGTAGCCAGAATATTGCATGGATCTCTGGTCTCTGGGATAAAGTAGATTTTCTTCTTCTTGAAGTTTACTGACAGTATGTATCCCGAATAGCGGAATATTTATCTTCAATTAGGGGGCCCAGCTCCGAAAGTCGTGGATCTGCTGCGTGCGGTTTCGAGGCAGAAGGTGTCGTTGAGCTGAAATGTCGCACTCGTGAATTTGTGAAGGTGTTAAATTGAGAAACTGGTCTACAAGCCCACCACGAAACCCTTGGGTTCGTGATTGAATGCTTCATTCTGACACTCCCTGTGGGCTGTGTATGGATACTTCACTTGCGCTGTTGATGGGCGGCGCAAGCGAGATTAACTAAAATATATTTAAGTACTTGAACAGGGGTTGATCTGGGTGAAATGACGCAACCGAAATTTCTTATCTTTGGACCCATATATTTGAGTTTCCGTCATTTAACCTTGTTTATAGTTAATCAAATAGTTAGTTCTATACAAGTTTTAACAGGTACGATCTCATTGTCTAGTTTACCTCTGTATCTTTTTAAAGACGTTAACTAGAAATCCCATTGTCCAGTGGATCAATACACCCGGAAAATATATGCTATACTAGTTATGAAAAGTGATATGTGTAGTTATCTCTTCAAGAAGTCGAGCAAATTAATGATAACATGCTCTCACATAAGGCATTGCAATGTTGCAAAGTATCATTATTCTCTACTCCATTTTGCTGCAGTCTTGCCCGGTGTTTACAGAATTCAAGCATCAGTGAACACTCCAATTCGTTACTGTTAAGGGACTCTTTAAATCTCCCAGTTCCTGACTCCATTTCCTCCCCCTCAAGGAACAATCAAATGAACAGTGGATTTTTTTTTTTTTTTTTTAAAAAAAAAAAAAACCCTGCTAGTTAAAATCCAATTATGCCTTGAACAAGGGGTGCATTGAATTAGCCATAAATAGAGCTGATTATGCCCCAAAGAAGTATTTAGTTTGGGAACTGCTGCAAAAATGAACCATGAAACAAAGGATGCTCTAAACAGCTCACAGCACAGAATAAATAATTGCAATGATGGCAAATTCAATTTCACCATCAGAGACAAACTGTGCCATGGTATATACGAAAACAGAAAAGAAAACCAAACCCAAGATACACACATATCTTAAAAAGAATTGGTTTTACGACAAAAAGTGAGAGAGACAGAGACACCAACGACGGAGAAAGAAAGGAAAAAACGAATAGAAGTCAGAACGCCCTGATCCCAACATATAATGAATAGCATATCCCGCGCTTCCAAACAGTTCGAAAAAGGGATAAAATAAAACCCTTTTCGCTTATAATTTAACTCACGCAATCCCCACGATTTTCCCCGGTGTTTGCGGCTGAACATCAATGACAGCTTGGATCAGATCCTCAACGACCTGGCTACCCTTTTGCTTGCCAATGTCTCTGATCTGTTGGACTTTCGCCTCGGCTTCCTTGTTCGCTTCATCTTCGGCTACTTTGTTACCGCTTGAGTGCTGAAAGAGATGAAATAATAACAGAGGAGTTGTTCGAGTTAGTCATCCAATTGCCATTGCATACATAAAATATATGTGATTTTGGTGCGGAAGAATCAACGTTGATCTCCAGCTTGACATAGCTGGGAGATAAATATTAAGTCATTTTTTCTCACCTCAGCTTCAAACTTCTTGAATTCCTCTTCCTTTTTCTGTCTGTATTCGTCAATCTCCTTTTGTGCTTCGGCTCTTGCGTCCTTTACGCGCTTCGTGCGGTCTGTAGATAATATCGATAAGTTTCGAGTAAGAAGACAAAGCAAGGAAGATTTGTATTTCTTTGGGTAATATATGTGATAGAGGGAACTGTTACGAACATTCTCGGGCTGAAATATCGAATAAGCCAGATCAGCTAGAATGTTCTTCAAATATCAAAGTGTTGGGAGTCCTGAGGAGGATGTGAATACCATTCTGAACAATCTTCTGCGCCTCTCTCTCAGCCTATTCGTCCATGAAACACTTGTCAGCTGTCTGGAGCCATATTCGTAGAGATTCGAGTGCCAGTTGATCGGGATATGTGATTGGGATGCAACATACATCAAGCAGTGTCTGGATACCTGCGGAGTTTTGGGCAGACTGCAGAGAAGACCGTTAGCAAGATCCTCATGAAAAATCAAATATTTAATCACGAAATTTATCGATAAATTTACCATTTTCTTTTTTGCTTTCTTTCGAATAAAATATTACGGTGGGATTTGCTTTGTGATGTAGAATGTCGGAGGTTGGGTTGCTGGGTTGCTGTCCTGAGGTCATCGACTCTAGGTTGTTCAGGGTTCATTGGAGGACGCTTCTGCCGCTGCACACCGCTTCCAGACAATCTTCAATCCTTGCCAGATCTTCCAGGCAAAAGACCTTGGAATTTTGGGCTTGGATAATTCCACAGCAATCCTTAAATAATATAAAAGGCTATAATTTTACAAAAGGTTGAACTAGAGAGGGCTTCTTCCAACCCTGGAAATATTTGAGAAGCCTATCCATTCACAGCCCGCGTCCTAGGAACTAGAAAGCAAAAAATACTGGTTAAGCAAACATGTCACGGGCATCAAAACTTACCTTGGCCGGTACTACGTTGATTACCGCCGGCATTGTCTACTTCGTCCATTGGTCGCAGGAAGCTGAGAAAGCTGTATGTTTCCCCCGTTCATTCAATTATCAATTCAATCAATTTAATTCACTGTCCCGCTATACTGCACCGGGAGTATATGTACCATTTAGTTTTTACCCGATTGCTGACAATTTGTTAAATGTTAGGCGATGCATGCAGGTGTCGAACGAGATCTAGAAATCCAACGGATCAAACAAGAACGAAAAGCAGATTTTGAGATGCAGCGGGCACTGGAAGCTGAATACAGGAAAATCCAAACAGTTTCTGATAGCGGGAATGGGGAGGGTTTAGGTAGCGATGTTGGAACCGGGGTTAGACCAGGAGCTACATAGTCGTCGATATCCGCCTAATTCTTCACAGCGCACCTTTGGCTTTTGGTCGGCAATTGGAGCATAAAACAAGGGCAAGTCCTCTGGTTCCTTTTTGCGACGGAGCAGCAAGAGAATTCTGTTCTGTCTTGGGGGAAAATTTTGTTGTCGACGTGATTAGGAGCAGGGATATCTCAAACAAGGGCATCTGAGATAACACTTCCAAAGGGAAAATTCATGGACCTGACGATTGCGATTACGAAACGAATTACCGATGCTGCGCTGGTAGCACTTTGTACGATATATGTATATATACAAGAAACGATAGAATTCGAGTTTTGGGGGGGACATTGATTAGAGGAACAACGTTGGACCATATGCAGTATATGCCCAGAGTTCAACTGACTTCATTCATACATGGCAGATATCGATTGAATAAATAAGATTCTGACAGCGGAAAATCCGGGCTGCTGAACACAAAAATCAACAGCTGATAAAGTTGCGCATTGGACAAGGTGAAATTCCACTTTGAACTGTGAATCACTTTGGATGGTTTGTGCCGTTTTGCCGGATGTAGACTCGCGATCCAACTTGTATATAAGCTGAGAAGGAGAGGAGAAACACACGGCGACTTGAAAGAGCTAGCTAGAACTTTGCAGGGTTCCGTTTGAACGGGAGTACCCCTCGCGGGGTAGTTATTTTAATTATACTCCACCCGAGTGGAGGGTGGCACAGGGCTCCCGTACACTCGACGCCGTAGTTTTGTGTATTTCGTGCAGATGTTTCTATTCATAAACTCTTTTTGACAGGAGATGGTTGAACACACGCTCATTACTTGTTTCTTCCTGGTCTGGAATAAAATAACTAGGTAAACTAACTAACTAGTTAGTTAAAATAAATGGCAACTTATGTAATGGCTTTGTTAAATAATCATCCAGCTTCCATGTTTTGAAGGCCTCGAGACCCAGCCAACTTGCTCGCGTCAACGGGCATTCCTTTTCAACAAATAAATACCTCGCCCTAGTGCAAAACAGATTCTGCCCTGCCAGTCACCTGGCTCTCCTTCCACTCACTCTTCATCAGCTGAGGTTTAAACAGTCATTCCGCATTCGCTCCTGAACTGTTTCCACGTCGTTCGTACATGGCCGCTCTAGGGCCCGCTGAAAAATGGTCTACGTGCCCTGGCCTGCAGATATAGCCCTCTCCTAATGGACCACATATTTCCTTCGTTGCAGGATGCAAGTCGGCCCAGCACCACCCCGCGCAGCCGTTATTCGACTGCCCTGAAATGCTGTTGTGGGAGATCAGAATGCGCTTATCTTCAACATAACAACGCTGCACTGGCGGATCTGGAAAAAGACGTTGAAACTGCCGCCCAGTTAGGCCAGGTGTGTATAGTTATTTGAATTGTTTTCATCCCCTGTTCATCTTCTCCCCTGTGTGTTACATTTGTTATTCTAAAAGAGCTGGTTCTGTGCATTGTTTAATGGGTAATTTACTGATTCTCCCTTCTTCATTATTTTTCGTGGCTTAGGCTTTGCTACAGCGTCATGAGACTTATATGACAAATGCAGAAGGAGATCGGAGCAGACTGCTTTTGGAAATGGAAAATCTCGAGAGAGATAAACGTGAGGCGCAAGCCGAAAATGCACGAATTATCGAAGAAAATCGTGAGCTCTTGGAACAGTTGGAGGAAATGAACAAGGCGATCGCAGAATCGGATGCTCAGATCAAGTCTCTTACGATGACCCTGGAAAGTTCGCAGTTGCAAGTCAAACAACTGTCGGTTTCGGCGTCGCGAGTATCGCAGCTCGAGTCTCAAATTGATGCGATGGAGAAGGAACAGGAAGAGCTGCAGGTCAAACTTATCGTTACTGAAGAAGATGAGAAATCCGCAGTCCAGCGGTGGAGACAGGCTGAATGCACTTTGCGAGATCTTGAAGGTCAACTGGAGAGAATAGAGAAGAAATCGAGGGAGGAGCAGGAGACACATGCGGAGCTACTTAGGCGAATGGAGTTGCAGAGGACGGTTAAAAGAGAATTGGATACCGCTGCAGGTCGACTTAAAGGTGCTGCAGCTGCATCGTCAATTGGTCAGAATAAGCCAGGAGTAGTTACCAGTTTCGTGCGCGACATTCTACAGGATAATGCGAACCTGCAAATGGGCATCGTCGAGCTCAGAGAAATGCTTCAGGCCTCAAATGAGGAGGTAGAGAACTTGAGAGAACTGATTCTCCTACATCAACCATTGGCATTGGAGCCAGATGACCGACTACCTCGACATAAGAAAATCTCGCTTCGTGATGAACTGGATGCGAAATTGCCTCTAGCAGCTTCTCAGGAGTTCCACGTCCATCATCACTACCACTCACCAACCCATAGCTTACCCCAGCGTAAGGAAAGGGCGCAAACCCCCTTACACCGTCGCCAAAGGAAAAAGAGACCCCTGATATCCTCGCCCATCCTCGAATCTTCGTCTCGGCCCTCTTCGCGCCTATCCCGAATCTCACATAGTGCACATGGTTCCGTTTCATCACCATCCACCATACTTTCACAAACTTCGGTCTCAATCCCTCCAGCCTCTAGTAACCGCCACTGGTCCATTCAATCCTCCTCATCCATAGTGCCAGCGTCAATCTGTTCATCAATACCTAGTTCTCCACAATCCGTCTATAGAACTTCGTCCATATTCGATCGTGTGGATCATGGTTTTGATTCTTCTCGACCCACTAGTCCTGAGAGCAATGGGTTCGCATCTCCCAGTATCAGGCCATATCATCATCGCAAAGGATTGTCCGATATGCCGATACGACCTATAGCAGGTCCCCCTGAATTGCAAAATATGTCTGCAGGTTTATCGGGAGGTATAAACCAAGGACGCGATGATAACGTCGAATCTACAAATTATTCTGCTGATGAAAGAATACCCCCACAGTTCCAACCTGACATCCCGGAAGAGAGGGAAACTCCAACTGAGGAAATCACGAATGCACAAGGGATAAAATACACAGATTTCCCTGTTCCTGTCGAAGAACCAGATCCCTTCTCTCCACTGTTATATAACACAGTGAAACGCGCATCTTCACACGAAAGCCTCTTCTCCATTTCAGGGATGGACATCCACACACTCCGCTCCCGCCCATCCCAAATGCTCAGCCCTTATTCAGCCCTCCCGATTAGAGCACCAAGCTACCTCACTTCCGCTTGTTCAGAATTGTCCTTCACTCCTCCCATCATATCTCCGATGAACATTACCGTCCCTAGAGTATCACTTAGAGACGGGAATAAAGGCCCTGACTCTCGATCGCTGCTCTCGTCATTCGTCGCCGCGCCGGCGGAAGGGGACTCCAACGCAGCACCATCTGGAGCCCTACCAAATAACACCCCATACCTCCGCCACGCAGACCGTTTCAGCAAGCGGGTTGGCGGATGGGTCTTTGGCAGATGGGGTATGGCCCCGATCGCATCTCCGCGAACGGGGGACCTGAGCTCACCCAGATCATCCAGCCGCTCGTCGCTTGCATCCCCATTGCGCCCTCCAAATGCACCATCAGTCTCAGCAGCGTCGTCTGCGTCGACATTAGCCTCCGCTCCGTCTGTTCCCTCACCGAGAACTTCATCAACAGCAAGGGCGTCTGCGGCGGTAGTATTCAGACCACCCGGGGTAAACCAAATGGGGACAATCTTAGGCCTGCGCCCTCCAGGAAAGCCGCCCACGGCTGTTCAACCCATGGTCATTAATGAAGATTTACTGCAGGAAAGTTTGCTTGAGTAGCTCTTTTGGCTACCTTCTCAGTGTGTGTGTGTGCGTATGCGTGCGCGCTCCTACTGCATTTCCGTTTTCTTTTTTTTCTTTCTTTTTTCTTTTCTTTTTTTTTTTTTTTTGGAATTTTATTTTTACCTCCCCATCGTCCTTCACTATTTTGACTTTCCCTTTTGCACTTGAATTTCTTTCACACGACAACGCCTACATGTCTCATATGTACAGCACATACATAACTAGCATATTCCGCACTTATATCTTGTCCTTCTTTCTTTCTATTTTTTTTAATAATAATACATTTCATTTCCTTCAACTCCCTCTTCCCAAGCCTAAGTCTGGCATCATCACACTTTCATAGATATATACATGTACATGCAATGTTCACACAATTTATAAAGTTGATAGGTGATGGCCCTTTCTCATTTTTCTTAGTTTACATCTCGCACAGAATGGAATCTGGTTATCGTCAACATCTATTACTTGTTACGCACCTCTCTTATTACTGCAAATATTGCATGTATGCATGTACAGCAAAATACATACATACCCTAGGGTAGTTGTATACACATCTATCTGTGTATCCGTATCTGGGTATAATGCACTATATGCATGCGATCTGACCGTGTCAGCCAGAATTCTAACAAATCCAGATTCAGGGATATTATAATATGATATCACTCTTATATATAGGCAATCATGAAGAGCAGAAAAAGCAAAGCAGCACACATACCGGATAAATACCCACACATCATTCGCATTCTCTTTTTATGTGCTCTGCTTTGTTCCATGAATTTTATCTCTCAAGACCAATTTTGTCGAGGGCTATCCGCGTACGATCTTTTTTGCTAATAGGGTCATGTATGAATATATGTTTAAAAACATAGAAACAGGTACCAAGTTTTTTTAACGGCGGATAGGATATGTCTAATACCTGTGCATATGGCAATCTAAACAGGAATACTACTTGTGCTCCGAACTGTATGTGTGCACAGCTCTTAGTTGTACATATGTGATTTGATACAACAGGAAAGCTCCAGCCACTATTGAGGGAACGAAGGGGTACCTACATACATACACGCAAATACATGCCTAGGCTCAGGAGAACGGGTAGGTACAGTGAAGCTTTCTGTGATGTAAATGGTAAATCTCCTTTTGAAAGAACATTACATGATGCGAGAAGCGAGGGCCCTCTGCACTGGGAAAGATTGTAGAATTAGAAAAGTGATTGGATTAAAAGAAGTACATTTTGAGAGAAAATCATCTGTCAACACTGAACCAACCTTCCGCAGCTTAGTAAATTCAGGTCGCATATATGTAATCCGTCTCAAAAAATTTCCCAAATGACCTATCGCCAACCCGGTGTAGGCGCTTCTGAAACATCATATTATTACACCTACAGATATGGATGCACATATACCAGGATAACAAGCTACAAAAACTCAACTGAACTCTGATTTGCGCCCGCTTTCCTATCCAACTACCCGCCCAATCTCCAATATCGGCTCCCCTTCGACCGTTGGGGATGGATGACACGATAGGGGACACATGCCCTGCACGCAAAGAGTGGTGTACAGTAGCACAGATAGGAAGAGCACTCCTTGCGAATTGGGGGAGGAAATGGGAGAGATGAAGGTGGTACATGGTATGCCTTAGGGGGTATTTTGGGGGTGTGCACGATATGTATGCTTTACAATGTGGCATGCGAAGGCAACCGTCATATTCCCTATATCCGCTATGGAGTTGTTGGAGGGATCTGCGGATGGAATGGATCAAAAGAAAGACATTGTGCGATAGAGCGCGTTGCAGGACTAGAGCTAGGATTGGAAGGTATAATGAGATTGTTTGACTGCATGAGACTAGGTCCGGATTGTAGGGGATTGGATTGGGTCGAAATGGGGATGGAGTGGACACGCGGGTATGTTGTGCATAGGATATGTCTTGCACGCGTGTATATACTCGCCGGACGTCTGGGACATACAGTGAATATTGTTCAAGGAAAGTCTTGACGTGGGGAAGGTGGAAGATAATGCTTCCTGAGTTATTTATGCTTCTCAATTCTTTGAATAATATCGTACGGAGAAATCAATGCTGAGAGTATTCCCCCCTTTTCCTTGATTATCTTTGTTTCCCCATTTGTTTTTCCTGTCCGCATCTGGTAACTTTCAGAGATGATTGGTGGTGGATATATATATATCTCAGGTCGTTTTTGTGTAACACCTCACGTATACTATTTTTTATTCGCTTTGAGAATTAGGGAACAGAAGGCTGTGCGACGAAAAACCATTCAAAATGATGTCCCAGGAAGGTGCCTGTATGTATAATTGAAAGACGAAAATGCAAATGCGGGGGCATAAAAGGAGAGCCGAGGTATACCAAGAGTATATTTTAAATATTATAACTGTACAAAGTTCAAAATGAATCCCAAACCTTCTCATGGAAGTAAGGAGGCTGAGGCTGAGATCCTATAGGTCCGGATGGGGACATCAGTGCTGTGGAAAAATCCATTCTGGGATTGTCGGGGTGGGGATTCGAAATTTATCTTGCAAGCGTTCAAATTGTTCGCCTCTGGTCAAAAGAAGGATTTTTTAGTACACAAGTAACGTTTCACATGGAGGGCTTGCAATGTTATTATTATAATAAAGCAAAGTAGGAAGAGGAAAAAGAAAAGTTGTTGCACACCGCATGTGTTAAGAAAAGCATTAAATGTTTCCGAGTTTCGAAGTGTGGAAGAGAGAATAAATTCCTTGATTCTGTGCTTGTCGAATAGTTCTCGTAACGTTGATGATAAAAGAGGTATAAGTTCCCGATCATATATCTGCACATTTTAAACGAGTCCACAGCATAAATGCGTCGTCCTCGTTCATCAGTCACCTTGGAAAATATTGGAGATATGATATGTGGATGTGCTCTATGCATACCAGATCGGCTCCAAGTGCAACATCAAATGATTGACACGATTTTCCTGAAGATGATAGCCGGTGAGGTTGGAATGGATTACCCCACTCCCAAATATCTGCATGTATTCTGCTGCTATCAAGGCTGTTCCTCATTACACAATCCTGGATGCTGGATATCAATGCAGGGTCTCTGTCCGTAGCTGTCACACTCCGGGCACCAAGACACTTGAGACAATACATGGAGAGAAATCCGGTCCCGCTTCCCAGTTCGATGATATTCTTCCCCGCAATAAGTGCTCTGCCTTCCGGGGTTGAAAGGTATGTGCCCAGGTGCAAAGCCGCCTCCCACGTGCGGAATCCGGTAGTTCCCGATGAAAGTATGAGCCCGCGGTTTTCTGAAGTTATCACAAATTGGCTATCATGACTTTCGTTTGAACCCATGTCCCTGGGAGCTGTATAGCGGATATATGACAATTTCAGGGCTTCTTCAAGGGGTGATTGGCGCGGAAGTATGATCAGATTGCCATAGCTGCTCATGAGATCATCTAAGATCTCCTAAGAAGAAAGAACAATTATAGTCAGGATGAATAGCTGAGGATATGTAAAGAATCGTATTGAAAAAAGAAAATAATAATCAATCATATTCGTAGGCTATGATTTAAGAGCCTGGAACTAGGCAAAAACTAGAGTGAAGGGAGCCATACATCCTCTTCTGGATCGGAAATTGATTCCTCCAATCTAGAGATAAGAATTTTAAGGACCCGGATACGATATTTTGGTGGCGGAATAGGCCAAACTTGTGTTTCATTGAACATTGTCTGGTATATCAGCTGCTGGACTGCTGGTTTGATAAGAACATTAGTCGGTGGAAAAGAGAGGTGTTGTGGTTCCAGGAGCTGAAGATACTGAGCCACGAGCAGGTCGACCAGGGCCTCTTCTTCATAGTCGACAGGTGGGTGCACCATTATAATGGTACCTGGTATTTTGCGCCGTATTGTTGCTATTGTTAATGATGATGATGATTATGTGTTTGTTGGTTATCAATTTTGGAGACGGTTAAAAATGGCAGTAAGAAACGAAATAAACTTTGGGAAACAAAACGCCGGCACTGGGATTGCAGTATTGGGACTAGCGCGGAATGCTGTAGTTGGCCCTAGCCGAAAACCCACATCCAAGCAAAATCACAAAATACTTAGACGTTGGATTTCTCGACGACTGCGACAACCGACAAACCCAGCAGCCAACCATCCTCCTCCCGCTTCATCAAAGCAGACTTTTCGAACGCCGGTGGTTCACTTCTCGAAAATTCTGCAATCATGGCTGACGCTCCGGTGACCCTGCGGACGCGCAAGTTTATCCGCAACCCTCTTTTGGCCAGAAAGCAGATAGTCGTGTAAGTCATCTTTCGAGTGTGGGATCAGGGATTGGGATGTCGTGGTCGATGCTGGGAATTGAAGATTGAGGGACAACTACTCTGATTTTTGATTAGGGGATGAACGATATGGGTTTTATTTATTTATTTTTTTTTTTTTGGAGGAAGAGGAGGAGTAGGGGATACATAGATTCTGACCAGATGCTCTCACAGTGATATCCTCCATCCCAACCGCGCCAACATCTCCAAGGACGAGCTCCGTGGAAAGCTCTCCGAGCTCTACAAATCCAACAAGGAACAAGTCTCCGTATTTGGTCTTCGCACTCACTATGGTGGTGGTAAGACCACAGGCTTCGCGCTCATCTATGACTCGACCGAAGCCCTGAAGAAGTTTGAGCCGCGCTATCGCCTCGTCCGCATTGGAGCCGCTGAGAAGGTTGAGAAGGCCAGCAGACAGCAACGTACGTTTCGCAGATGCTCCTATCTTGCTCCTATCTTGCGGTACTGTATGCTACATGTTGGGATTGACTAACGATGGGAACTTCATTTTACCCCCATTTATAGGCAAACAAAGAAAGAACCGATCGAAGAAATTCCGGGGTACGGAAAAGACCAAGGGACCAAAGAAGGACAAGAAGAAATAAAGGAGTGATCTGGGTTGCTTTGCGTATTTTCATGTTATTTTATGGTGCTGGGTGGAAACGTAACGACATGGATTTTGATTTTGCTTAAAAAGGGTCCCCCAAATGCTGGATGAAATGTTTTTCTTTATCAACCTACATCGATGATGTACTTTAGCTGAAAATCAAGCCATGTGGTGAAATTACACCTTTTCTCTCCGTCTACGTCGCGGTTACGGGTGTTCGTTTTCTTTTCGTTTCTCCTTTTCTTCGGTCCATTACCCCTCTGCATGTTGTTCTTCATGTGCAGCGAACCTGAAAACAGTCACGATCTTTTCAATTTATATGCTATGCTAATCCATCGTAATGGGATTGGGGGTAGCGACTGTTCGAAGTCTTCAATTTGACAATGAAACATGAAATGGGGAATTGAGGTATGGAAAACCCCTCTCTATTTCACAAAGGAATCACCCCACCAACAATGCCTGCCACCCACATCTTATATTTCTTTTTATGTCTTGGAGACCCGAAAATGTTCACCGATAGTTAGGCGTATCTTGAGGTCACAAGCAGAGGGAATAGGGAACAAAAAGGAAAATCAAAATAAAAAACTTGGAGAAATAATACACGGTAGGGACGGGTTTGGTTATTTTGTCAATAAGTTAAAATGCACACATTAGGTTTACCAGCCGCTGGAAAGAGGAACATAAAAAGACGTCACTCTAGCAACATACACGCCTCTATCGACGATCCACAAGGGGAAAAAAAAGAGTATTACGCGACTCCGCATGTAATGCACGGTAAAATACTCGGCCATTATTTTGACGTAGGAGAGACAAATCTTGTCATATATCCAGACATAGAAGACCCGTGTAGGAGCCAATAAGAAAACCCGTACCTCCAAACTATCCCAGTATATTTGGTATTCAAGACATACGCGCAGACGGAAAAGCAGAGCCAACAAGATTCGTTAGGATGTCATTGAGATGGATTAGATGGTATGAAATCCAAAAGTAGAGGTGAATAATAAAAAATAAAATAAAAAATAAAATAAAAAATAAAAAATGCAAACGAAACCCAGGAAACATATGCAAACAAACGAGCAAACGAAAAACAATAAAGAAACTTGTGACTACCCCGACCCTAAAAGCCATCAACTTTGCTAACTGCGAGACTGGATATCGGCTTCACTGATGGTTCACAACATCTAGAAACTGTTGACTGGTAAGGGGGAAGACGGGTGTAACTCCTCCCATTTGTCAAATTACTCGACGAGCCACTACTGGTGCACTGCTTGGGTAGTTCCGTGCTATGACTATAGGCCTGCGCTTGTTGATGAAGTTCATTGTAGCGGTGGGATGCTCCATTCAGTGCATGTTCTGCGGGGAGATGGAATCCCTCAACCGATTCCGATGTTGGAAACGGTGTTGAAGACATAGTGGTTGATGGTGAGTTGTTGGATATTACATACCCGAACGTCATATCAGTAGCACCTGAATTGGGCTTGACAGCACTAGACGAGCTCGCACCGTCTGACATGGTGGAGGTAGCCGTTGTCCTCATCGAGCTCTGCTGGTTGTTGGAAGGCAAGCCATCCATGGCCAAATGGTTTGCGGATCTGGCACTAAGTACTTGGCCAGTCCCATAAGAAGGAGGAAGTGAAGATTCTGTTGAAGATGTGCTGGTAGTCGCTATCGTGATCCCACTTTCGCGACCGTTTTTATTTACTATGGGATTTGGCAATGTCCGATCAGACCCTGATGATGAGGACATTGAGCTGAGAAGGGGTAACGTTGGAGGCAAGTCCGACGATATGGATACTGGAGAGTGTGTTTGTGTCATGCAGTTGTAATTGGATACAAGGGTTGAATGGCCGTCTTGGTCAGGAGAAAGCTTGCCTTTCGAGATTTTGCTCATCTGAGAACCCCGTGGGCTCAGTGGGTAAGAATAGTAGTTGGGGCTTCCCGACGAATCAGTGCTGGGGAGCATATATGGCGGGGATGACATGTTGTATGAAGAGGCAGAATCGCCATCGTAGTTGATCGGGCATACGGACATGTACGGATTTTTTGAAAGTGTGGAGAATTGAGCTGCATGTTCATAGGCACATTGGGATTTCGAATATGGTGGAAAAGCTGGTGTCATCGAGTGGATTAACGTTGAATTAAATCTTGAAGTTGCCTGCGATTCATAGCCGGCCGTGCTGGCGTAGGGTGGACCCAAGGGGCTCGCAGGTGGATACGGCCAGGGGTTACTGTATCCTCCTTTGGCTTGAGTTGCGAATGAATTGACCTAAAGATCATTAGACTCAACCCAGATGTAGAGCTGCTACAGTAAAGAGTCAACATACTCGCAAAAACAGGCAAATGGACGTCCCTGCATTTCGACAATTGGTGCATTGACCGTTGCCGCTATCCCCACTACATTTGATTTTCCGTCTTCGACATCGACCGCACTTAACGGAAAAAAAAAATTAAAAAAATAAGGGGTAAGCTGGGGCAAACACAGGTATAGGTTTCGGTCTCATGGCGAACGTACCGCAACCTGTATACGTCGTCGAGTGAGTGGACCACTGCTTTTCGCGTCCGGTTCCGGGGTCGAGCCAATTCGACCACCGTATCCACTCGGCAACTCCTGTTGAGCATCCCCTCGTATCGGCTGAGAAACTGGATAGCTCATCCCCCGGGAAGATTGCCTATAGAACTGCAAGTCTTCCTGATGATCGTAGAAAGTTCGAGTCATGATCTATCTGTCCGCTCCTTTGCAAACAAGGAGGCAGAGATCAGAAGATATGGCCGTTTCTATATGTCCCGAACTCAACATGTGTGTAACAAAAATAAAACTTCAGGGAAACAACTGACGGCTAAACTTAGAAGGCAAGTAGTCGTTGTGAAGGGCAGAATAATATTAGGTATCATTTAATATTTTCCAGAGATAGAAGGGGGAAAAGGTAAAGTAATTTTTTGGGCAACGTATCAGGGCATGGTGTGGGTTTTAAGGGTTCTGTGCAGGTATATCAACCGATAGAACGAAATTGTCTGGTTAGAAAAGCCCTGCCTTACTTAAGGACATAAACCAGCCTGTGGAGGCGAGGGAATTGACCAGAGTTTGCCTGGATTATCTATTATGTCCAATATATGCCTTGTTTGATGGAACATACTTCTTTATCATGTTCCACTGCTGGTCCTATACACCTGCTATGATCCGTACGCTGTAGAACGTCCTTGACGCAGGGTTCTTGGTCGAAGGAAATGGTGCAGCTTGATGAAAAACCAGGCTGCTACGTCTGCCTGCTCGGTCTGAGGTCCAGTGCCACGTAACGTGTCCTACACGGTATTTCTCACTCTAACGCCATCCTTAAGGTGGGTGGTAAAGGTGATACCATCAACTGTAGAGAGCATCATTGAGGAAAACGGTAAAAGGCAAGAAAGAAAAGAAAAAGAAAAAAAAAAGAAATTATAAAGAAGAAAAAGAAGAAGAAAAAGAAGAAAGAATATAGGCTATCCAAAACTGGATGAAAAGATTTGGAGAACAAAATTATATTCAGCTCAGAAAACAAAATCCTTATTTGCTGACTTCGTGTACTGAGGTCAAACAAAGACAGATGAGAAGGAGAAAAGAAAATAATAAGTTGAGAAGGTTTGCAGAAAAAACTCTGATTCGAGCAGGCATCCGAAAGAGCGTTTGCCATTAATGAGAATGCAGATGTTGATTGAGTTGTTTGCTTCCTGCTGCTGATCTCACTTCAGGGTGCATGGAAGCAAACATCTCACCCTGCCATCTCCAGACGGGAAAATCCACTTGAATCACAAACATGATTAATCAAAAATGCCTCAAATCGACGTACCTTATAGGGACATAGTACCTTCAACTAGAAATGAATGGCAGGACATCCCCGACATTCAAACAAGATGCTCCTACACTAGGATCTTGGCAATGTCTGAGATCTGAGGAGCAAAAAGCTTGTTCAATGTTTATGTTGTACTTGGTCTTCTCCAACCACCTCCCCATCCCTGTCAATTTGGCATAATTCAGACCTTCAATGACTCGCAATAATAATTTTCCAAAAAAAAAAAAAATCAATAAGAAAAGAAGGAAAAAAAGCTTAAAAAAGGAAAGAAAGAAAGAAAAGAAAAGAAAGACAGATCTTAGTCTCTTTCAGGGTCCGCATGGTTTGGTTGACGATATGTATATGTTAGTGCGTTGTTCTATTCTGATTGGAAGGGTGAAGCCATATCCAGAACAAAGGACGGCGGAGGACGCCAAGGAGGCATAAAAAGTGCTTCCAGTTCCCAGGATTTGCTGTGAAGAATTAAGACAAGTGAATATGTGTGTTTCATGCATCTCTTAGTCGTTAGGCAAGGAGAAACCGTGGGACAGCCGGGGTAAATAGACGCGGAGTTTATGAGAATTTACGCTTACCGAGAAAGCATTAAGTCGACTACTCACTAAAACAAGGAGAAAGTTCTACCCTTCAATGACACATATATAATGGGGTTTGAGGTGTCACATCCGAGAAGAAAAAAAACCCCATCCTATCCCGTAGCGATTTGCAGATAGGGAGGTGAAGGGGTAGGGGGAAACTTGAAATCAACAGGTAGGGTTTTCCAGAGGCTTTCGGGAAACGGGATCTCACCCCTGGATCATATTAGTGCATATACAGTTTTGTGCATGAAAAGGATTTGAATGTTATGCTTGAGGACCCATCAAACAGGGTTGCTGTCTTGCAGCCACCATGGATGGCCCGATCCGCCTCCACGTGTGTACGCAGGAATTGCAAAAAACACTCCCCAGAAGAGCTGGTAAAACTGGTGTCAGACAAAGCTAAGAGAACATTATGTGAGGGAACGGAATTTTCAACGGTCCTCTTGTTTCCGTGAAACGGTTGGGGGCAAAAGAGGGGGCGGGGGAACTGCCGAACTGGTGAGGCGATCCAGAAATGGCAGCATTGGGTGTAAGCAGAGAATAATTGCTTGTCTAGGGCATTTTAAGTTTAGCTTTGCATCAGATCTCCTCCGGCGATTGAAATTTGAGGAGTGCTGAAGAACGTTTGGCATCTGGTGAGGCAGGAATTGGCAAATGGTTGACGTTGGGCTAACCGCTGTCAGCTTCAGCTCCAGAAACACCTTCTTTGAGGAGGCGGGTGACAAACAAATGAGAATCATCCACATTAAATTAATCCGTTTGTTATTCTCCGTAAATGAAACCGTAATATTTTCTTAACATACATAATTATGTATATAACTTGCATAAGGTTGATCGGAGACCCTTATCTGTTAAAGGTTTGCCAGAGGTGTTCACAAGCCCTGGTTAGGTAGGTCATTAACTAGACAAAAAAAAATGATTAATAGACACAAATCATCATAACATCAATATATTATCATATCATATCATTTGCCACTGCTTCCGGTAGACCTGAAGGGGATGAGTTGGAATAGGCATAAGTATGTCTCTGAGAGTCTGTGTGTGGTGTGCGAGGCGTCAGTCACGGCAGCAGAAACTCGACGCAGCCAACGGCTCTCATTGGCCTAACCAAAAACGGTACAGTCTGCCAAGCCAAAAGGTTCCTCCGTTCGATCCTCCGCATTCCAAAAGATCTCCAACTCAAGCCTTACTTGGCTACTTTTGCAGCTAAAATATCTTATAACTGCCTTTCTCAGATCAACCAACCTGAGTAGCCATCGTATGCTGCATATACATATCCATTATTTGACGGATGTTCTCCCACGCATACTTCCACAATTAATGCTCCCCCACGGTTTCATCCCCCCTGGTGCCTCACTTTAGTCCCTTGTTGGGTCAACATTCTTTGCCCTCATGAGTGTCATCTTGGAGACCTCGTTGGGTGATGTGGTTATTGATCTTTTAGTCGACGCGGCCCCCAAAGCTTGCGAAAAGTACGTCTGTTAATTTTTCCCGTACCCCGCTTTTCTCTCGATCGTTCGTTGGTTCGTCCGTTCGTTATCTCTACGTATCCCCTATCACCCCTTTACCCCACCAACAAGTTGTACAAATGTGAAGTGGCTGAAGGGTGAAAACTAAGATTTCCAAACCGTTTCAATCCAGTTTTCTGAAGCTATGCAAGGTCAAGTATTACAATTTTTCTCCGGTATACAACGTCCAGAAGAATTTCTCCTTCCAGACCGGCGATCCCATAGGTCCCGGCTCTAAGGACAGCGATGGGGGGTCTTCCATATGGGGTCTCCTCAACGGACCCTCACGAAGGACATTTCCGATAAAGTTCCCACCGAAAATGAAGCACACAGAGCGTGGCACGGTTAGTATGGCTACGGTCCCTTCCACAAAAGACCTCGACGAGCGCCTGGCGGGAAGCCAGTTCATTATAACCCTTGGTGATAATCTGGACTACCTGGATGGGAAAGCGGCTATTTTCGGGAAAGTGGTGGAAGGATTCGATGTCCTGGAGAAAGTAAACGATGCGTTTATCGACGATAAGGGGCGTCCACTTAAAGATATTCGAATTCGGCATACCGTGATTCTAGATGATCCTTTCGACGATCCACCGGGCCTGGTGGTACCCCCAGAAAGTCCACTGCCTTCGAAAGCGCAGTTGGCAACAGTAATGATTGCGGACGATGAAGAGTTAGACGAAAATATCGACGAGGTGGCGGTAGAAAAGTTACGACGGGAGCGCGAGGCTCGGGCACAGGCTTTGACCCTGGAAATGGTTGGGGATTTGCCGTTTGCTGAGGTTAAGCCACCAGAAAACGTCCTTTTCGTGTGTAAACTTAATCCTGTAACTCAAGGTGTGTAATCACACCTTTTTTCCGTGATTCAACCTACATACTGAACTAACCAAAACAGATGAGGATCTTCATCTTATTTTCAGTCGATTTGGGCCGATATTGTCCTGTGAAGTGATACGAGACAAGCGAACTGGTGACAGCCTGCAGTATGCGTTCATCGAATTTGAGAACCAGAAAGACTGTGAACAAGCTTATTTTAAAATGCAAGGTGTTTTGATCGATGATCATCGAATTCATGTTGACTTTTCTCAAAGTGTAAGTGTCATTCTTGTTGTTATACCTATCTTTCAGCTGTAACTTGCTAACGTCGATTTCTAGGTTTCGAAATTATCGGACACATGGCGGAACGCGACAAACTCCAAAAGAGCTAGCCAACGAGGTGGGTTTGGAGGAATATCTACTTTAGAGAAGAGGCGCCAATACAGAGCCTCAGAGGCGCTTCGACGAGATTCATATGGAATGGTATTTGACAAGGAGGATATGCGCAGAAAGGGCGATTCAAAATCTTACAAACATTCTCGGAGTCGGAGTCGAAGCCCACATAGAGGGTCCAGACATAGGAGTAGGTCACCCTCGCGTTACCGTTATGACGATGGCGATAATAGGCAATACAGAGGGAGCAACAACTCATCAAGGCATGGATACGGAAATGATAGGCGTAGGCGATGATCCAAGGCATAGATCTCTTAATTAAAATACCCAGTGTAAAGTAGCTATATAGTTATTCTCTGTAACCATATCAATTTGAAAACAACAAAGTCTCAAACTACAGGTCCCTTTTACTTCTTTTTCCACATCCTCTGAAAGAATCATTCAATATCCTCTAGATAAACAACACACAGAAAGTTGTGGCTAAACAGCTGCCAAGAGACGTAGACCTTATCCGCATTGGTTCCCATCCATGTCTTAAAGCCTAATGGCTGAATCCCTTGCCCTGTCAAAATGAAAACAAGATTCTCCAAACATTAGCGTTATTCTCCTGGCAATAATTTACGATCTTTGATCTGCTTAGAAGTTGATAATGTTGGCAGGATTTGGGACAGTTTCTCGCTGTGCAGCTAAAAATACAATCTTTGGTGGGGCATCTTCATCTAATTAGTTCCAGGCTTTGCTTAAAATCAACGTCCTTCCCCTCTCTTCTAGTTCTAAAAAAGGCAAAGCAAACGAAATTAACCAGAATTCTACGTACTTTCTTTTCTTTTCTTCATCTTTTCATCTAACCCAATCACATATTATTGCTGCGGCAATGTCGTTGGTCTCAAATATCATGGACCACCTTCCAATTGGTGGGAGTGAGAGGGAGGCAGCTCTACCCCGCGAACCGTCGCAGGAGGAGATCAATACGCTGAAACATAAATATAAAAAGGCAGGACAGGGACATGTGTTTACTTTCTTCGAGGAGCTCAAATCAACCGAAAAGGCTTGTCTCTTCCGCCAGCTCTCCAACTTCGATCCAAACCGCATCAATGAGCTTGCCAACACTGCCCTCAATCCCCCCGCCGCCATTCAAGGTGCTCAAAAAACCACCGTCGAGCCCTTGCCGGAATCCACCACGGCATCCATGATTGACTCAGATAGTGACTCTTTACAAAAATTCTATAATACCGGTCTTGAACTGATCGCTGCCAACAAAGTGGCTGTGGTACTGATGGCTGGCGGCCAGGGGACTCGGTTAGGTAGCTCCGCACCAAAGGGTTGCTTTGATATTGGCCTTCCAAGCAAAAAGTCACTTTTCCAGATACAGGCAGAGAGAATTATAAAGCTGCAGCAATTGGCTCAAGTGTCATCGGGCAAGGACAAAGTTGTTATCCCTTGGTATGTAATGACCAGCGGCCCAACACGGCAGCCCACACAGACGTTCTTTGAAGAGCATAAGTTTTTTGGTTTGGAGAAGGAGAATGTTGTAATATTTGAGCAAGGGGTATTGCCATGCATATCCAACGAGGGGAAAATTTTAATGGAGAGCAAGTCAAAAGTAGGTGTTTTTCTTCATTTCTTTTTTATCCTACAAGGTACCTAGGTTCTCCCGCTTACATACAATTACTTAAAAATAGGTGGCAGTGGCACCTGATGGCAATGGCGGCATATACCAAGCGCTTTTAACATCTGGAGTTCGAACAGACATGAGGAACAGGGGAATAAAGCATATCCACGCATACTGCGTTGACAACTGTCTCGTGAAGATTGCTGATCCCGTCTTCATCGGTTTTGCAGCCTCCAAAAGTGTCGATATTGCTACAAAAGTCGTACGCAAGCGGAATGCCACCGAGTCCGTCGGTCTCATTCTGCTGAAAAACGGAAAACCAGATGTCGTGGAATACTCCGAGATAGACAAGGAAACCGCTGAAGCCAAGGATCCCAAGCACCCTGACGTTCTCAAGTTCCGCGCAGCGAACATCGTGAACCATTACTACTCATTCAACTTCCTTGAGTCCATTGAAGTCTGGGCCTCAAAATTGCCACACCATGTAGCCCGTAAGAAGATTCCTTGCGTCAACTTGGAGACGGGGGAGATCGTCAAAGCTGAGAGACCCAACGGGATTAAGCTCGAGCAGTTTGTTTTCGATGTGTTTCCATTGCTGCCGCTTGACAAATTTGCCTCGATTGAAGTCAAGCGGGAAGACGAGTTTTCGCCATTGAAAAATGCCCGTGGCACAGGGGAGGATGACCCTGACACTAGCAAAAGAGACATCATGCGACAAGGCGAGCGATGGGTCCGCGCTGCTGGGGGTTTAGTGGAGAGTGAATCGGAGGACGCAGCTGGCGTTGAAGTTTCTCCATTGATAAGCTATGTGAGTATTACGTTTACACATTATGTGTTACACATTATGGATTCCAGTTATGCATTTGAACCTGGTTCAGACAGAGAATACTAATTATAATTTCACGTAGGCTGGAGAGGGATTGGGGTTCTTGAAGGGTCGAGTCATCAAAGCACCAGCGGTAATTGAAAGCGAGAAAACAAATGTTTGAATACAAATGAGACTGTTAGCAGGGCCCTCTGCAGTGTAGTTGTCATGGGGACAGCATTTGATAGGTTAGATTTTTTCTCAATCAGCAGAACATGCTGAGGCAACACAATTCAAGAGACATTCAGTAGTGGCCTTGAATAAATCTCTTTGGCCATTTTCAAAGTGGCTATGAAAACAGGTATCTATAGGTCACTGTTTGCATTAGTAATAGCACAACATGGTAACTATTTAGTTATCTCGAAATGAACCTCCTTCTCTGCTATAACCTGCTTGCATAAAATAACTTCAAGAACAATGAAAATACAATGCATTTCACCGTTTTCTTTGTATTCGAAAACGGTGTGGCGCTAGCCTCTTTTCGGCTAGGCGGTCAAGCTTCTCAAAATCTTTTCTCTTTTCTGCTTTAAACGCCCGACGACCGTCATTTTGTTTCAGACCTACAATTCATATCAACATCACAACGTTTCTTCACACTCTGAAAGGATTGTTTTTGTGGCTTGGTGGGATTGGAGAGAAGAAGCAGAAGCAGAAGTGAAGGGTTTAGTTAGATCGGTGTGCCGAGTTTGTTGTAAGTTCTTACCTTGCCCCTTGCAACTTTTGCTGTGAGAATGCATTCCCATCCTCGGCGGTTTCTTCCATACGGTTCCTGCCCACCTAATATGGGTAGCTTGGGAGATGGTTCTGTCCATGTTCGTCAAGCTAACAAGAATAGGCCATCAAGAGAAGTTGGGAAAAGTTGCCTCGACCAAGTAATTTTTATTGTTTTAACCGATATAACTTGCTAGTTGTGAGTTCGCCCCGATGTTGCGAAGACTGTTCCATGCACCCAAACTGAGGGTTGCTTTCACAACCTCCCCAACCTGTTAACTACTATTTCCTATCCGACCCTTCCCTGCCGTTAGACAAGCATACATTTTATACCAACCCTATCTGCCCCAGAACATCTGCTACCTGCCCTTATCCGTTTTCCGCATACCTTTTGTATTCTTGCCTTGGAATGTTATTTTACATAAATTATGAACTTACAAATCCGGAGACGATTTGAGAACTAACAGTGGAGACACGACTAGCAATATAAGAAGATGATGGCCTCACGCCGTGCATGCTACAAATGTGGCAACATTGGTCATTATGCTGGTTAGTGACAAAACACGCCATCAGAAGATTTTTTCAATCGAGTTGAGGAGCCCAGGCTGATTGAAACAGAGGTGTGCTCGTCCGCGGAGCGCCTATGCTACAACTGTGAGTTCTCTATTTTCCCAATTGCCCTCCTCTCTTTACATTTAGGGGAGTCAAGACTAATCAAAGCTCACACAGGCAAACAACCCGGTAAGACTCAAGATGGGAGAAATGGACTAATGTCGAAATTATTTCCAGTCAAACTAATGATCAATTAGGACACGAGTCGAATGGCTGCCCGCGTCCTCGCACAACAGAGAGTAAGGAGAATTTCTTCACCCCAGGTTTAATAATGCGGAGATATATTAACATTTCTCTCTTCCCCACAGCGAAACAATGCTACCATTGTCAGGGCCTTGGACATGTGCAAGCTGACTGCCCAACCTTGCGCTTGAACGGGGGTGCCACGAGCGGCCGTTGCTACAACTGCAATATCCTCGGCCATCTGGCTGTAAGATTTTTCGTTGATTTGTCTATTTAAATATGAAGTTTTACTCTGCCTAGCATCCAAAGACGTTTCACTGACCCTATTTCACAGCGGAATTGCCCATCTACTGGCATGCAAGGTGCCGGAAGAGGCGTTCCATCAGCCCGTGGGGTTTTCAACTCTCCCTTTCGTGGTGCATTCGCCGGATATGCCAGAACTGCTACGTGCTACAAATGTGGTGGTCCAAACCATTTCGCGCGGGATTGCCAGGCTCAATCTATGAAATGCTATGCATGTGGCAAATTGGTTAGTTATACCAAACCATATACCAAGGGGAAATAAATGACCCCGAGAACCCCATTTCCATTGTCTAACAAATAGATGCAGGGTCATATCTCCCGTGATTGCACTGCTCCCAATGGTGGACCGTTGAGCTCCGTAGGCAAAGTCTGCTATAAATGCTCCCAGGCAGGCCATATCTCTCGCGATTGCCCGACTAACACCACCGAAGCTGTTGCTTCGACCGCTGCGGAGCCCGCTGCCGAGACCGCAGCCGTGACGGATGCTAACGTTGCCCCCGTTGCTGCAGCGCCCACTCCGGCAGTCGCTTAAAGTCGATATCTCAATCAACGTCCACACCCAACGATCCATTAGGACTCTGATGGAGCTCTACTACGACCCATATATATACTTTTCTTTTCCTTTGTGTATTTGGTGTAAACCCGTTCGGCCCTTTATTGTTAATCGTGTTCATTTTATTTTCTTCATTTTTCCTCTTTTTTTTCCTGGAAAGGGTTTGCACATATTATGTCCCGTGTCAGATTCTCAAGAATCGAGGTCTTTTTATGTATACGAAATGCCAAATAAAGAAACAGGAAGTTAATCATGACGAAAAGGAAAACAATCAAAGCAAAAAATCAATGACCTGGAATCCGGCAACGGGCTGAATAAGCCTCATGAAATGGCGTCAATTTGGCTGACAAAAAAGTTGGGGAAAAAAAAAGGGGGAGAGGAAAAGTTTCAAATTCACCTTCGTTGAGGAAGATATCAAAAATTGAATTTCAACTTCAACAGCAAGGCCTAATGATGGAGGAAGAAAATGTGAGATTTTCAAACTTTCCATATATTTTATTCATCAGGATTAATTATGGACTGTGGATTGTGAAATATAAATTGTCGGTGCTGGAATGAACACACATATTCACATGCCGCCTGTTAACATCTTTTTACATCCTTTGTCCATCCAGGTTTTGCCCTCCCTCTACACTCTTCCTATGGGGGATGGCGTGGTTAGTTTAATTTTATATTTATCCTATTTTTAACGTCAAATTTTGGATCTTCTCTCGCCCCATTTTTCCTTTTCCCTCTCTCTCGTCCTAGGGATTGGGAAGGGCTGGTATTTTGCTTTTGAACCTCTAACTGGGCGTCAATTTGTTGGTGATGCACACAACACGAAAAGTTATGTATTTTCATTTAAGTCTCGTTAAGTTCTATTGAAAGGAATGGCCTCTCCATCTACTTACATGAATACTGAAATGGCTCCGCTTGCAACATCATACTTGTCATTACATTTTTGTTTTTTCTATTCTCTTTCTATCCCCACGTCTTTTCGTCATATAGTAGGAGATACTGATGGGTCTGCGTGTGTCCTCTGAGGCTGGATGAGGCTCTGCCCGTCCTCTCCTGATCGGGAAATACCCGTGACCCCACCCCCCTACTCCCCCTGACCTCCCACTTCTTCAGAGAAGAATAACTTCATTTGTTTCAAGGACCATCAAGTCCAGTCATCTATCCGATCTGTTCGTCTGTAGCCTCACCATCTAGCTATTCCTAATCTCACTACATCTTCACCTGAAGTTATTACTCGCCCCTTACTTACCCGAGTTGTTAGTGGTGATAGCAGAGCTGAGCCGGAAACAAGATGCCCGCATCAAATGCCAGTGACGAGTTCGATGATGTGAGACGTTTTCCATTGCTCTTCCCAAAGATGTAATCGACTGTGCACTCAAATTGACCGATTTATTTTGTTCTAAAGGATATTTTCATCGTCGATATAGACGGCATCCAGGCTCATGGTGAGAGTTCTTCACACCTTAAGACTCCAAATAAGTAACTCAGCTAAAGGGGTTATCGTGTAGGTGTTGGAGCAGCTGATATTACGAAACTGAAGGCGAACGGATTTTATACAGTTGCTGTATGATATAATGACTCCGGAATCTTTGTTCAACTACACCAGCTTGAGCACCCCACTTGCTTTAAAGGGGAGCATTTCAAAAGCACTAGACTCAGTCCAAGACTAACATTAGGCCAATGGGAATCGTTGGACATCCTGTAGTCTGTACACGGAGCCACGAGAAAGACGCTTCTGAAGATCAAGGGTTTTAGTGAAGTCAAAGTCGAGAAGATTAAGGAGGCTGTTCAAAAATGCCAGGTATAAATGGCTCAGCCAACATCCTTATTCTGAAATCCACTAAACTCTTCTTACCCGTGGTTCAACGTAACTGATGGGTATCCATGCAGCCTTCAGCTTCTGGATTCATAACTGCAATGGAACTAGGCCACCAGCGGAAACGGGTCGTGAAGATTTCCACTGGGAGTAAACAATTCGACTCCATCCTTGCAGGGTCCGTTGATAACGTGTCCTAGTTGATTTTTATCTAAAAGGTATTAATTGTATTAAGCAGTGGATTTCAGAGCATGAGCATCAGTGAGGTGTACGGCGAGTTTCGCTGTGGTAAGACACAGCTCTCACACACCATGTCAGTTGTGGCGCAGCTTCCCAAGGATATGGGCGGCGCAGAGGGGAAAGTAGCCTATATCGATACTGAGGGCACCTTTCGTCCAGAAAGAATTGCCCAGATTGCGGAACGCTTTGGTGTTGACTCAGACTCCGCATTGGAGAACATCACTTATGCAAGAGCACTCAATAGCGAGCACCAGCTGGAGCTCCTCAATACACTGTCAAAGGAGTTTGCAGGCGGTGAGTATCGATTGTTGATAATTGACAGTATCATGAACTGTTTCCGTGTCGACTACTGTGGTCGTGGAGAGTTGGCGGATCGGCAGCAGAAGTTAAACCAGTTCCTGATGAAATTGGCGCATATGGCAGAAGGTGCGTAAATAATTCATAGCCCACTCATCCACATATCCCCTTTCCAACACCCCAGACTTAGAAGCTCACAGTTCACTCGACAGAATTCAACGTCTGCGTTTTAATGGTAGGTTTCTCGAGAATGAGAGAAAGCTTCAGCTGGTTTCCAAGCTTACCCCAACCTACAGACCAACCAGGTACAGAGTGATCCTGGTGCAAGTGCCCTGTTTGCAGGTGCAGATGGTCGTAAACCGGTAGGAGGGCATATCTTAGCTCACGCTTCAACCACTCGAGTCTTGCTTCGGAAAGGTCGAGGTGAAGAAAGAGTTGCAAAGATCCAAGATTCTCCAGGTAAATAGTTACTCCTTTTCAAACCACCCCCAATAAAAATAAAATAAAATAAAATAAAGACAAAAGGACATTCACCATGCTGTTTAACTAGATTGCCCGGAGCGCGAAGCCACCTATGTGATCACGAATGGCGGTATCAATGATCCGGACAAGGTCTAGATTCTATATCATGAAGGGCTAATAGCATACAAGAAAGTTCATAATGTTGTGTACTGTGTCGTGAGAAATTGTTGCATTTTTGTTCTTAGTTAACAGTTTATTCTGTCTTTGAAGCTACTCTGATGTCGAGCGGGAAGGATTAGCCGCGGTGCCAAGCCTTCATTCTCGTGTACAATATCCTTATCTAAATTCTACTGTTCAAGCTTAAACAATCAAAAGAATATATCCAGAATCATAAATTCAAACTAGACAGGAGTCAAACTATTTCAGCAATGGCGCCTAAAACACCCTTTCCGCTGAGTATATCCGGCTACTCAGTCCTACCAGTCGAGTTTCCCCCAGTTCCTTCATTCCCAAACCCTGCGACGCATTACCTCTACCTTCATCCACACGAACCACGAATTCCCGACCCAGACTCCGCCCGCTCTCTTTTCATCGTAAATATCCCAGTAACGACTACAGAAACGCATTTACGACATTTATTTGGCGCTCAATTGGCCTCCGGTCGTGTTGAACGAGTTGAATTCCACGGCTCGATTGCTAAAGACTCTTCAACCGTTCCACCCCAACCGCCCACAATTAGCACCACCACCAGCAGCAACAGCAAGAAACGAAAACGAGAAACCGCCCAAGACCTGCAAATCAAGCTCGACAAAACGGAGATCCCACGCACATGGGACCGTGAACTCCACACCAGCGGCGCACATGCAGTTGTAGTTTTCGTCGATCGGCCCAGCATGGAAGCCAGTCTCAAAGCTGCGAGAAGGGCCGCGAAAAACCGCACAAAGATAATATGGAGCGAAGGGATCGAGAAGGACCGTTTACCAGCCCTTGGAATCCAGAGATACAAAGCACATAACAAACTACGGTATCCGGCACGCACCGATCTGTTGCGCACAGTGAACGACTACATGACCATCTTTGGCCAGCTTGAGGAGGCTCGAGCACATGAAGCGGCTGCAGCCGCTGATGAGCCTGATGAGGATGGCTTTGTGACCGTTACGCGGAGGGGGAAGATTAATAATGTTGGGCTCGAGGAGGAGATGAAGGAGTTGTTAGAGAAGCACAAGGAGAAGAGTAAGGGGCTTGAAGACTTTTATCGATTCCAGCTGCGGGAGAGAAGGAAGGAGAGGCAGACGGAGCTGCTGAGGAAATTTGAGGAGGATAAGAGGAAGGTTGAGGAGATGAGGAGGAGGAGGGGGAAGGTTACGGTATGTTTATTTTCTATTTTGTATTATCCCCTTTTCTCTCTCTTTTATTTTGTTTCTTCTCTCCCATTTTCGCCCGCAGGATGATTGTATTGGTGTAAATTGGTGGTACTACTTGATACGGGCTCCTTTCCAGCTTTCATTGTTTTATACTAACTTATTTACCCCCTACAGCCTGAATAAAAAAAAAAATCCTAAAATGCGGGGATTTGAGAAATTATGGATAATGTGCTGCAGATGTCAGTCCATATCGACAAACTTGCAAATATCGCGTGCACGCGCCTCTCCAGGAGGAACAGCACACTCAAACACACATGTTCTTGGATAGTATCGGTTATTTAATAAGGAGACAGACACCTAGCGCTTTGCTGGCTGGAATAAATCTCAATTACAATAATTTCTTCCACGATCCTCAACTCCAGCTCGCTTTAAATGCTGTAGTGAGGTCTATTGCGCCCAGATGTATTTACTAGAACACTGCGACTCGGACCATAATGGAATGAGAAATATCACACACAGAGTCCATACCCGGAGTCGGTGCCGTGCGCTGCAACCTTTTTCCACTTCCAACCGAGCATCCCCTTGTTGCTGTGTGCTCCGTGGGCTAAGGACCATGGAGTATCCATTTGAATTATCGGCCTGTATTAGCGCCTCACAGTAGATTTCTTCTTAAAAGAACTGTAGCTATAAATCCTCAAGAATGCTGCGCAAGTTGTCATATTCAACGGCTAGCATCTACGATACAAATAACAATGTAATACAAGGTTAGATATCGATGTCATCCTGATCTTGGAACAAATCTTTGCGACGACGTCATAGGCTTGGCATTGTCACCTTATCATCCTTCACGTCGGCTGCCTAGCTGTAAAAGTCGCAAGGTCAACCTGTGAAATGAGCTTTACGACGGTTGCGATTGTCGAATTTCAATGCAGCTATTTGAAAACATATATACGGAGACACCTTTGACAGGATTGGAGTCAATAATTGTATACTCTGCTCCCGAATTCTGTCCCTCCCACAACCCCGCATCGTCCCGCGTTAGGACGATCTCTAGCAGGTATCAACATCCACCTTTATACCAGAAAATACCCTATATACATTGCCTTGACGAGACCACACTCTTTCACTTCCCTCTTTTAAGAGTTTTCGGCGCCTCAACCCGTTGCCGCTCGTTTTAAAGCCATATGGGCCGTCTCACAATTGTACTTTAAGATACCAATTGATCCCAATACCCATCATGAACGAGAATCCACCAAACCCGTCTGGATCAGCAGGAGGAGGAGGATTCATGCCTCCCTCACTGCCCTCCCCATCTCCATCATCCGCATACTCAACCTCCACAATCGCGACAAATCTCCCTCGACAGAGAAGGTTGTCTCTAAGACCAGGTTGCGCCAAGGAAACAGCAGTCATAAACTTCGTTGACAGCCACATCCTAGCCATAAACCGGCGCCACGCGAAGAAATTCAGCAGCGCATTCACGGACAAAGATGAGACAGAGGCGGAGCGTGGATATGAGAATTTCCGCGAGGTCGCGAGGGATATAGAGGCGATTGTTGACGTGCTTTGGGTTAGCGCTACTCGTAAGTTTTGTTTTTTGTGTAATCCTCGTTCCCGCTGTTATCGATTCTCGCAATTGTTTCTACCTTCTACGGTTATATACGTTATCCATTAACAACTCACGAACAGCCTCCCTCCAAATACCATACCTCATCACCCTAGCAGGCCTGTTAAATACCTATCTCCCAGACTTCCCTTTCTCCGCACGCGCCACATTTAAATTAATAAGGAAATTCGATGCTATCTTCGCCTCACTGCTTCTAGGGGAGGATTTGCAGACTGGGCACCCCTTACCTGGTTTCGAAGGCAAACATGGCGTTGTTTCAATGACTGAGAAGGTGAGAATCAAGAGTATTACGGAGAGCGCGCGGATTATTGTCGTGGGTGCGCAGGAGAATGGGGATGATGAACAATATGGTGATGACGACGAGGATGACGATGGTATTGAAGGAGACGGGGACGGAAGAGGAGGGGAGTCATGGGGCTCGGAGGTTTTTGGGGATGGCCTTGGGAGGTGGGACTTGGAGTCTGGAAGGGTATATCAGAGGACGATTCAGATACTGGGTGATGAGCTGGGGAAGCAAGATGGGTAGCGAGGTGGGAGATATTTGTATTTCATGAAATGGCAGGTTCCAAGGTTATGAAGGAATGAATTGATGACCGCTACAAGATATATAGGATATGAATATACATGATATCTATGCCCAGAATTTTCATTGAGCGTTTTTATTTTGTGGAAATGGCGTCAGCTACATACATGGTGATGATGATAGTGGCAGCCCCAGTCAATTTTTGCCATCCCACGCTTCCTTGCAGATCCCCGATGCATGGCGTTGCGCTATGCCGAATGTGGCTGTTGATTTGTGATATGCTCAGAAATAGGTAGTTACAGCACCTGGCTTGCCTCAACTAACCTCAGGAATGCAGAAGAGGTTCAGCATATTTATGACAACCACCTTACCTTACCCGCCACCAGCGAAAGCGCTGTTCATTGGCTTCTCTGGCTAAGTCCAACCAGAATCTTCAACGGCAATGGAAGGCGAGCATACAATCAATGAAGACGCGCCGATCTCTCCTATCAAGCTAAGTGGAGTAGCAGACGGCCTTCTTCAGATTGAGTTTCGGAACTTACGATATTTGTCATGGGCGTGCTTAGCTAGCATCCGATTGTCTAGCTAGCTAACTTTTCGCAAGTCTGGTTTACTGAGTCGTGACCCGGCAGGTGCTGAATATCGACCTACATACAACCTTGGGATCGACATGATATCAGCGCGTACAGAATCCTGATAACCGGAACAGGGCGATTTGCCTTGCGGACATAGAATATCATCATCGACACCACCACAGCGGCCATCACTGGTGTACCATAAAAGCTCTTCTAAAACGGCTGCTGGGGAGTTTAAGAATTGTTTTGAGTGGTGAGGCCGGGGATGCGAGAGCAACTGAATCGATTTAAAATGCTTTCCCCCTGTAGCCAAGAGGATCAGTATCAATGTGGACAGGAGTTCGCGAGTCCGCTCGCTAGTATTGATGAGGAGCGTACCCATGAAGACTGAGAGCTTTGTATGTTCTTAAAAAACATGAAGCATGGGAGAATAAAGGAAAATCATCATGGGCTTCTAGGCTAACGTCGTAACTAGATCTCATGTCAGACGATTCACCAAAAGAGCATTCGTCTGCCAGACATGCCCCTAATCCTCCTAAACTTGATGTACTCGATCTGGCAGCTTCTGTCAGTGGGATGAAAGTATTTAGTATATCCCATAGCAGACGGAATCGTCTCGGCGCGAATGATGTGCCCTATACACTGCTGGACTGCGTTGGGAGGGACGGGAGCTGCGCGTCTACCGAATCATCGCTGAAAATAATGATGTCTTCGTGCTGAAGAGAGTGGATTTGAGAGATGTTAACGAAGCTACGGTCAGAGGGTATAGAAGCGAAATTGACCAGCTCAAGAAACTCGCCAAGGTCGATTGATCGAGTTGTCAGCCTGCGGGAATGGAAGCTCAATAGTGAAAGGCAGAGACTTAACATAAGTGCATATTATCATCATCATATCTCTACTCGAAAATCTGCTTTGTGCTGGTTATTAAAGTAGATCTAGTTCAGGTGATAGAATTCGGTCCTTTGGACTTTTGACTCAGCTCTCAAGCGCTAGATCAACTCTACAGACGCCCAATTCGACATTATGTTCAAACGGCATTACTGGAAAGAGATGTTTGAATGCCTCACTGCGGCACACGCTTGCAACATTGTACACTCCGGCCTCATTCAAGCCTACCAACTTTGTTCTCGTCCGAGGACGCTTGAAGATCATTGTCTTGAGCATCGCGAACCTAATTGGCGACGACACCGTGAATGTACGTCGCGACCACCAAATAGTTACACCCAACTATATGGTCCCAGAAGCTTTGCTCGACAACAGCTCCAGAGGGGACAATTCTTTAGGCACCGGTGAGATGTTGATCCAAGGTCGGAAAACCCAGCGATATCTGGAGCTTGGGCTGCATATTATATCAAATAAACATACGGGAGAGCTCCGCTCGGCCAAATACCAAATCATCTGCATTGTGCCATGCCCATTATCAATCCGAATCATACCATTGACTAACCCGCCCTCAGGATTGGCGGAGTCAAGTTTCCAGCTGGCATCATCCAAGCCTTGCAAGCATGCTTGAGGCGGGGGCAAAAGCTGCGTCTGACCACAGACGATCTTCTCTTCCCGTCCGACGAATTCCTATCGCTCGGTAAACCATCAGACCCTGGGAGAGTCAAGAACAGATAGACGTAATCCTCCAGAAATGTTGTGCGGCTCTGCCATTCAAGTGAGCCGCCGACAGATGATAGGGCTGTCAATTGGTCGAAGATATTCTTTGATAAATTTGTGCTGCCGCGCTGTAAGCTTTTGCTTTGATCATTTAGTGATTCTTCAAATGTATTACTATACCCATCTTCCGCTTTTATTTAATTGCTTTTTTATATTAAGGGTTGAACTTTTATGAATTTCTCCCGTTTTTGAACCCTGCTCATTGTTTGCAGTGCTGGCCATAATGCCTCGAGATGGATACGTCGTTGACATCTACTCTATATGTCGTTGTCTATATTTTATTTTGGTCTCTTAGCGCTGCAGGATTGATCGGCCTGGATGCAATCAATCATTTCATGGATTTATATTAGCGCTAGAAGACTGATAAACGGATGGGAACACAACAGCTGAATCAACTAACGTTCAAGTTGATCACGTACACGTATTTATTATACCTTAATCAATCTCCTCTCGCGAAAACGGTCCTTCATTGGCAGGGATTGTAAAGAAAGAAGGAAAGAAGAAGAAACAAAACACTTTTAAAAACGTTTTCATCTTCCACTCTTCAACCATCGAAATTATTTCTCAATCCTCAAACCCTCAACCAACCACTAATAATTACCCTTCTCCGTCCCCAGCCCCAGATACCTGACGATAGCAAATATTGCTGCTCCTCTTTCCGCTCCTTTGATCCAGAGTAAGAAAACCAGGATATTAGGAAATCATTGAACATTGAAACAACGGGGCCCAACGGGGCCCAATGCCATCATCCAGTTTCGGTCCTTATCCCATGACTCAGTGGGATTCCTAGGTATGGCAATAAAAATAGCAGGCCCGGTGCTCCCGTGCAGATGACGTTGTGAAAGGTGTTGTTTCACGCGATGCGACTTGGGTGTTTTTTTGTGCGTAAGATGTAACTAAACCGAGGGAAGAGGGACGGGGTCTGATCGAAAAAAAAAAATAAATAAATAAATAAATAAATAAAATAAAAATTAAAAAGCCCCTTGGCGGCCTTTTCTCTCTTCTTCCCTTTTTCTTAATCTCCTCAATTGGTCATGATGAGTTTGTACGGAATAGCTACTGTACTGTTCATTGGGACCAATCTTGTCAAAGCCTTATTTATTAGAGGCATGGTTAATTGCAACGCAGGATGTCGTCCCTCTTTCTTTCGGTCTCTTGAAACAAGTGATTCCTTTTCCTTCCTTTTAAGTTTATTTATTCTCACTTCCTCTCGAGTCAGCAGAGCGATCTGGCAAAATGCCGTGGTTCTCGGTTAGGGGAGTAACGCAAGGATGCGCCGGAAGCAGAATAATCATTATCATCCTGTGTAGTCAGCTTCAGCGCACTTTTAATAGAGGATGTCCGGATTTTTCCTTCTCCTCCTCTGATCATTTCTCTGTCAATACCTTTGGTGGCTTGTCTGTCTGCTCCGCTGTAGATGCATGTAATTGTAGTGCTATGGATGTTGCTGCTATCCATGACGTTTATATTGAAAGATGGAGTACAAAAATAGCCCGTATTATCGTCAGTAAGGAGCGCTGCAAGAACGAATTCTCTCTGCATGAAATGGCTAACTATAAATAAATGAAACAAAAATTTGAGAGGAGACTCGATCCCTTTAATGCAAGTAATAGATACTTCCATCCGGCAGCTAATTAGTTAACTAGAGAGTTAAATCCATCCGCTACCAAGGTTCTATTCCACGGTTCCATGCAAGACAGCCTCGTTTAACCACGAAAGGAACACCTTACCAAACCACTGCAAGTAATCCATCCTAAAAAGGTTTACACCCTATCTAAACTTACAGGGAGTTCTACCTAAACTAACTACCTAGTTAGCCGGACCAGGGTGCATGATGACAACATCGCGCCACGCAACCAAACGAACGCACAACAAGAGGAAGCGAGTGATAAATCGTTCTCCGCAAACTAAAAATATAAACGAACCTCCGTTCCTTCATTTGCATTTTAACCTAGGACTCTTGCTTTTTTTAAACGGGGGTTTTCGTTTTTCCTTTTCCCTTTTTGTCTTTTTCATATTAACACGTAAGTCGGGCAATTAGGCCTCTCGAGCAGGGAGAAAAAGGGGGTTGAGGGGGGCGGGTTGTTTGATTTATTCAAATTATATGATGTCTGTCCCCTTTATTTCTTCCCCTCTCACCCCGCTGCCCTCTGCTCTATCTTTTATTCAGCACCTTTGATCAATATGGTATGGCATGCGAAAGAGTATATATTGTTTTCGGCCTCAAAATCTGGCCTTAAAAGGCGTGGACGAGAAGTGTGGTTCGTTGCTTTTCGTTAAAGTGGAAAACCGGATTTTAACTTCGAGAGGTTTTGTCTCTGTCTCTCATATAACCTAGGATATGCTCATTTTGGCCCATGTCCACTCGCTACCGAAGGCTAGAGAGATGCGTAGCGTAGGGTTGCGCTGAAGGAGGGGAAAGGGAGATAGATCATGTTCATCTTCAAATAATAGTATTTGCTTTTTGATAGCTGGTGACAACTAAGCACTGGTAGATACAACGAATCGCTCAAGAGCTGTTTTCCGTAAATCAAAGTAAAAATAATAAAAATGTCAAAATAATTCAATTTTAAAAAAGAGTGGATTCACTATGAATTTTTCCCTCCTGACGTTTCGTCCCTTGCAGCCGTTCTGTTTTCCCACTTCTCCAGTGTTTTTGTGGCCTGAAATAAACTTTAGACCTGTCGGGTGAGTCGCTTTCTGGCATTTCGCCCCCCCTTCTTCCTCCTCCATCGTTCGTCTTTCGTTCCTCTTCTCCTCCTTCACTTTCCTGAATCTTCTTTTCTTTCTTCCTTCGTCTTCCTCTTCTTCTTTTGCTTCTTCTCTTCCCATCCTCTTTCTTCTGTCTGTTCTAGTAGTTAATCCGTTTCTGGTTAGTTGTGCCCTTTTTTTTCTTGCTGGTTTTTTTATTTTATTTTATTTTATTTTATTTTATTTTATTTTATTTTTTTTTAATTTTCCTCCCTCCTAATCATCCAATCTCTTCCTGGCTCTCTTCCTGTCTTCCCTTACCTTCTCTCCCCCTCTCCCACCCCTTAGTTCCCTTATTCTCTTGATTCCCCCGGTTCCCCCCTCTTCCCCCTTCCCCCCACCACACACAAGGAAGTCGAGTGTTTGAGTTGAGATAATTCACCGATTTAGTGTTCCCCTCTTCTTTTCATTCTTCCATTATAACAGGAAAATCCGCGCGAATAAGAAAAAGGAACGCACGTGGAAGAAGAGAAAATTTTGTTCTCTGTATTTCCATATTTTTCCGTTCTGCGGGTGCAAAGGAGTTATTTTTTTTGCCCTTCCGTTGCGTACCCTTTTTTGATTTGCAAGCACAAGCAAAAAAATAAAACACACCCCCTCCGCCCTCGTTTTGTCATCATTCGAATCCGTCGACTGCCTTAACCTACTACTACTACTTACTACCTTCCACTACCGAACTACCACATAATTTTACTCTCTCCCCAGTCCACCCACCAAACTCTCGAATCATATTTTCCCATCCACCCTCCCGTCCATTCTCATCATCTCTCCATCTCTCCCATCTCTCCATCCATCCACCAACTGACCAACCACATCACACACCCTATCTCTTTCCCGGAGGATTTCTGCCCTCTTGAATTTTATATTTGGTAAAAGCAGCATTGAGCGTCCGCCTTGCCCGTTTTTCTAACTTGTCAAAAGCCTTCCCTCTTTTCCTTTTTGGTGCAGCCGGAGTTTGTCATTCGAGAATAAAACTTGTGGTGAGTAACATTGTTTTTATACACCCTTTTGCACTGTAGTTTCAGCGCACAGTCGCAGTCGTACCCTATCTATCATTAGCATCAGCATCAGCATCAGCGTCATTCCCCATCGCAGACCCCGATTTGATTTCATTTGCCATCCCCCAAATGCCCCTTTTTCTATGACCCTGTCATCTTCCCTGGGATAGCCCCTCGTTGTATCGATGGAGAAGAGCTTTGAGAGGTGGGGTGTGATGAGTGGTAGTTGTGATGAATAGTCGTTGCCTGCGATTCTTCTTCAACCACCGCCACCACTCTTCAGCCTCAGCCCTCATGTCCGTCATCCATTTCGCTCAACGAACTACACCACTTCATCCTTCTTGTCCCTCCTCTCAACTCCACCCACCAGCGTCCTCACTATCGTCATATACTCTCTGGAAATATCTTGACACTGCTGCCACGTCTGAAGAGAGCAACTTGCGGCATTCTTCGTTCTTTGGCCCTGAGTGCAAGTGAAAGATGAGGTCAAATTTGTGGAGAGATAGCTGAGCACCCACCCACCACCCGCCTACGCACACACAGACACACAGACACACACACACACACACACATGTCTACACTTTGCATTATCGCAACAAATAATTTAAAGAGAGGTTAAAGAGAGCCACAATGACAGCATTGCCGTGGTGACGAGAGGATGAGAACGATGGCCTCGTAGCAATGGTTGTGTTGCTTATTCTATTTCCCCCTCCCAAAGAATTCATCATCACAAGCCTTGAATCTTGATCCCACTGTTCCCGGCAACCAATAACCCATGAACCCATCCATTCAACATTCAGTTACTGCTAGGCTTATTAGTTTTGAACGCTGCTATCTGTCTTCTTCTTTCTCCTCTTCCTCTTATTTTCTTTTCTTCCTCACTTCCTTTCACTGCTCTTCTCCACTACAATAAAAACACCTTAACAAATCTCAACGGTTCATCGAGTGAACCTTGGCGTGTTTTTTCTTGCGTCTTTTTCCTCGTCTTGCCTCTCGGTGGTTTTTTTCTTCCTTTTTCTTCCCGCCTTTTCTTTTCTCCCCGCAACATCCGCTTAACCACTCATATCCACACCTCATCTTCACTTCTTGCTTCCCTTTACCTCCCATCATCTTTCTCACCTCATCGCCCCCGTGTGTTACTGTTCATTGTCATTTTCTACCTCTCTTCCGTTTTT